CGCTGCCCACTGGATGGGGAGCGGTGTACAGCACAAACATATCAATTGTGACACCAGCTCTCCACATATGTCAGTTGCTTAATTTAGAAACTGTACTTGTGGTCGATATCGAACCCATTGTTGATGTGACGACTTATACTGAATTTTGTAACTAGCTCATTAAGATTGTAACTTGCTTAGCTAAATGAATTGTGGGGTTCAGTCCCTGAGCCCATTATGTGCCTCTGTAACCCTTTCCACTACCACCCACAAGATGGGTATGGGGTGCATAATAAATAAACTAAACTAAGGAACCTTGTATACCACATATGTAAGACCATTCCTGGAGTATGCGGCCCCAGCATGGAGCCCGTACCTTGTCAAGCACAAGACGAAGCTGGAAAAAGTTCAGAGGTATGCCACTAGGCTAGTCCTAGAACTAAGAGGCATGAGTTACAAGGAAAGGCTGCGAGAACTGCACCTCACGTCGCTGGAAGACAGGAGAGTAAGGGGAAGACATGATCACTACCTACAAAATTCTCAGGGGAATTGACAGGATAGATAAAGATAAACTGTTTAACACTGGTGGGACGCGAACAAGGGGACACAGGTGGAATCTGAGTAACCAAATGAGCCACAGAGATATTAGAAAGAACTTTTTTAGTGACAGTAGCAGTGTCAGAGTAAATGGAATGCATTAGGCAGTGATGTGGTGGTGGCTGACTCCATACACAGTTTCAAGTGTAGATATGATAAAGCCCAGTAGGCTCAGGAACCTGTACACCAGTTGATTGACGGTTGAGAGGCGGGACCAAAGAGCCAAAGCTCAACCCCCGCAAGTACAACTAGGCGAGTACACGCATATGTATATAAAAAAAAAAATCTTGACATATATGGAGTTCCCGCCTAGGCTCGAACTGATGACCATCCCCAGGAGGTAACCCCAAATCAGCTTCCTAATTCCCAGATATCTATTTACTGCTGGGTGAACAGAGGCATCAGATGAAAGGAAACGTGCCCAACCATTTCTGTCCCGCCCGGGATCGTACAGTTGGGTTCATTCTCGACTCACAATCCAGAATTCCGGGTTCGAATTCTTGGCGGGATAGAAATAGTTGGATGTATTTCTTATCACCTAATGCCCCTGCTCACCCAGGAGTAAATATGTCCCCAGGAGATAGTCAGCCTGTTGTGGGGTTGCATCCTGGGGGGAGGGGGGGTGAGGGGGGGGCAGTAATTCGACCTTGAAGGGGGGAGGGTCGATATAAGCCTAACATGTATCTATGCACTGGCTGCCTGTCCCCCGACATAATGAATTATTATAATTGTAAGTAGAAAACAAAGACAACTGCACCATATTTAATCTACGAAAATAAATACTGTAAATTATAACATTATTTAAATTTCTATATTTCGATTAGTTGTAACTACAACTAATATAATAACTCTACAAATTATCTTTACTTCATATAACGTTTTGTTAGAAAAAAAATATTGCAATAGGCTATTTAAACATTACAAAGAACGTTTTTTTATTATATATACCGTAGTGGTAACCACTGAACTCCTTAATGGTTATAACAAAAAAATTGCGGTGTGGATGTACGTCTGGCAGCGATGCAGCGAGTGGAATTTTTTGACTGTATTTGTTCTTTTGTTTTGAGATACAATGTACAGAGATTTACTTTATTTTCAAAGACTTCACCTTTAGATTTTGTAAACAAGATGGTGTACATACAAACCTGCATCATATTATGTGGTGGAGCATTGCAATAGGTCATTTAATGATATCGACAATTATTATCGATATCGACGTTAATGATAGCATGATATCGTGGATGCCCACGTGTAGTGGAGCATTATATTGTCCTGGACGTGGGTGTCCACTTATAGTGGAGCATTATATTGTCCTGGGCGTGGGTGTCTACGTGTAGTGGAGCATTATATTACCCTGGACGTGGGTGTCCACGTGTAGTGGAGCATTATATTGTCCTGGACGTGGGTGTCCACGTGTAGTGGAGCATTATATTGTCCTGGGCGTGGGTGTCCACTTATAGTGGAGCATAATTATTACCCTGGATGTTGTTACGGATCGCTACCATATAGATACTGAGAGAAATTTCGTCACACACCATGTTATTATTTGTCATAACTCTTGCAGACACAGTAACAAGATGGACGGTAGTTTGAGTGTTGTTTTGGCCCTCAGACTGTTACTCACGACCGTTGGCAAGAGGGGAGCCCACCGCCGGCTTCACCAGACCGAGGGGACACTATACCTTTTCAAATTCAAAATTCAAATTTTTATTCAGGTAAAAGTACATACATACCTAGACTGTGTAGGTCTACACTACCTACCTGGGTCTACACTACCTACCTAGGTCAACACTACCTACCTAGGTCAACACTACCTACCTAGGTCAACACTACCTACCTAGGACAACAAGGCACTCTTGCCTGGCAGTCCATGGAGCAGCTTCACCTCCTCATGACACGTGCAAGAGTCGCGTGCTCGCCTGCCTCAAAGATATTATGGTGCTAGACAAATATTATCATTAGATAGTGTTGTGAAGATTATCCTCGACTGTGTTACAAGTGGCAAGAAGATTTAGTGTGCAAATTTGCGTGATACGAGATTGTATTCCCGTTGGATCGACACTTACGAGGTGCTATAATTAGAAGTGTACATAGGTCGTAAAGGAGCATACTGTGGTGGTATTGAGGCTTTATATGGAGAGAAATTGCATATAGTGTAAATAGTAAAAAATGGGAAGAACAATATTATACTGTATCCTGATGACGGCAGTAAAATCTTTATTATATCAAGGTGTTGAACACTGACATATTCCATATACGCAAACAGTACATGTGTAAATATAAAGAGAAATATAGAGAAGTACAAGCTTCAGGTGTCACGCCTGACAACGCATCCCGTCCTCACACCAAATCTATTCCATCCAGCGGTCGACCCCAATGACGCATTCACAAATTTTAACATGTTGTTCACTCAAAACAGGAATTTTCTTAAATATAAATAAATATTATTATATATTAGCATATTGTGCATATTTAGGCATTGCTTAGGCTAGGTGTTTAGGTTTTGTTGGCGATTATTTGTGTTTGTAGTACGTGGGTGAAGCATTTACAGCGTTGTGATTCGAACAAGAGTCGTCAGCGAAGCACTTGATCAAGAAGTGTTTAACGTCATCAGTTGTGAGTGGTGTGTAAATCGTTTTCCATTCATAAACAAGGGGTTTGGCCGGTGCATGGAATGGACTTTGGCCTTTGTTTATGAGGACGGGCTGGACAATGAGCCAGACGTTCTCGCTTCATGCAGGTCGGCCGTCGGCGTTCAATCCCCGACCTTCCAAGTGGTTGGACACCATTCATTCCCCCCCCCCCCGTCCCATCCCAAATCCTTATCCTGACCCCCTTCCAAGTGCTATATAGTCCTAATGGCTTGGCACTCTCTCCTGATAGTTCCCTTCCCTTTTGACAATTCTATATGAAGACTTTTGGGAAAACTGAAATACACCGAACACCGCTATTATACATATTTTGGAGTTTGTTCCCAGAGGTTCGATCCCATCAACTGGGGCCTCCACATATACTGGAAATAAATGTTCCAATACATGTGGAACATTTGTTCATGGGTGTCCAATGTGATAGAGCATGATATATTACAATGCACACAGGTGTCCACATTTTTTTGGAGCATGGCATTACCCTGAATTTCAGTGTAAACATGTGATGAAGCATGATATAACCCTCGGCGTCCACACGTGGTGGAGCATGTTATAACCCTGGAGGTGGGTGTGGACACGTATGGGAGCATATTACCCAGGACATAGGTGGCCACAGGTGGTGGAGCATGTTATAACCCTGGAGGTGGGTGTGGACACGTATGGGAGCATATTACCTGGGACATAGGCGTCCACATGTGGTGGAGCATGTTATAACCCTGGAGGTGGGTGTCCACATGTATGGGAGCATATTACCTGGGACATAGGCGTCCACATGTGGTGGAGCATGTTATAACCCTGGAGGTGGGTGTCCACATGTATGGGAGCATATTACCTGAGACATAGGCGTCCACATGTGGTGGAGCATGTTATAACCCTGGAGGTGGGTGTCCACATGTATGGGAGCATATTACCTGGGACATAGGCGTCCACATGTGGTGGAGCATGTTATAACCCTGGAGGTGGGTGTCCACATGTATGGGAGCATATTACCTGGGACATAGGCGTCCACATGTGGTGGAGCATGTTATAACCCTGGAGGTGGGTGTCCACATGTATGGGAGCATATTACCTGGGACATAGGCGTCCACATGTGGTGGAGCATGTTATAACCCTGGAGGTGGGTGTCCACATGTATGGGAGCATATTACCTGGGACATAGGCGTCCACATGTGGTGGAGCATGTTATAACCCTGGAGGTGGGTGTCCACATGTATGGGAGCATATTACCTGGGACATAGGCGTCCACATGTGGTGGAGCATGTTATAACCCTGGAGGTGGGTGTCCACATGTATGGGAGCATATTACCTGGGACATAGGCGTCCACATGTGGTGGAGCATGTTATAACCCTGGAGGTGGGTGTCCACATGTATGGGAGCATATTACCTGGGACATAGGCGTCCACATGTGGTGGAGCATGTTATAACCCTGGAGGTGGGTGTCCACATGTATGGGAGCATATTACCCAGGACATAGGTGGCCACAGGTGGTGGAGCATAACTTAATCTTTGATAATGGTGTCTATGTGATGGAGCAAGATATTTACCAGGAGTAACTTTTTTTTAAATTACAGAAAATAATATGTAGTTTTCTAGAGTGAGTGAGTGATGAGTATTAATTAATTTATATACCTTTTATTGGTAAATATTATAATAGTCAATTATAATACAGTGCTGCTAACAAAAACTGGCTTAATTAGGATACATAGTTCTTATGATTGATGCTACTTGGTGTAGTAAATTACAGTATAAATGATTACGGAATAAAAAATACCAAATTGAGTTTTTGTTTTATTTTAATTGCTTACATGTACTACAGCACACTGTCCAGTGTTACAATAAACAAATAAATATATATATACAGTATACTGTATAGTGAAAATTATAGACAAAAATAAATTAGTGACTAGAACAGTTGTTTAAAACTCAAATGGTATTGGTTTTTGCTCAAGGGGTCCATGACTGCAGACAGGGAGAAATGTGATCGTAGGATTGTCACTTGTATCAACAGCAAAATGACTGCAGAGAAACACTGGGGTGCAAGTGCACCCTGGTGGGACCCCATCTCATTGTCTCGATAATACTTCATTGTATAATTATACAGTGAAGTTTCATTATAATTATCCATACAGATTATGATTTTCAGTATCGTATTGTTGGAGACAGGTAAGCACAGCAGTTGCTTAACCCTTGGATACCTGTTTACTGCTAGGCAAACAGAGACATTAGGTATAAGGAAAAGTGCCCAAATGTTTCTTACTGCCTGGATTGTGAACCATCTGTGTTGACCACTGTGCTGGAGAGCAGGTCTACAGGCATAGACAAGGGTAAAGGAGGCAGGCAAAAGCTGGCAGGCAGTCAAGGTTGAAAGTGCATCATAGTAGGTGGATAATAATAGACAACAATCAAGGCAAGGCTGATAACAATTGCAAAACTGTTGCACGGTGGTTAGTACAATCAGCTTGGACCCAACTGGTTTTCGGTTTGATTCCTGGGCAGGGGAAGATATTTGGCACATTTCTTTTCATGCTATGCCTTTGCTTACCTAACTAAATAGGTACTGTACCCTAAAATTTATTGATTATTGCTGACTACATCTTAGGCAATAGTCATTTGTTGGCCAGAGGTACTGCCCAACCCCTTGGACTGAACGATAGAGCGATGGTCTTACTTCATGCAAGTCGGTGTTCAATTCCTGACTTCCCAAGTGGTTGGGCACCATTCCTTCCTTCCATCCCATCCCCAAACCTTATCCTGATCCCTTCAATGTGCTACATAGTCATAATGACTTGGTGCTTTCTCCTAGTAGCTCCCTTCCCTTCGCTAGGAATACCTTGAAAAGCTTAACAGGGCTTACTGTTACAAACACAGTAATCATATGGGTCTCAACATTTACCCTGTTTGCAAGTAGAGGACATTAAATGCCACCATGTAAAAACCAAGAGTAGACTGAATATATTAAAATAGTTGGACAAATGATATAGTGGTCTACTAATTCAGTCTTTTATCTAGATTTGCCACTCCGTGAAAAAATGCAAGTTTTGCCTAATCAGAAATGTATGACTCCAAGCAGCCCAGCTAAATGATCGAGGCCAATGTATAGAAAACATCAATATCATGGTGCTTTAGTATTTATTAATACTGTACATCATATATTAATTAAATTACCATAGTTGATTGCGTTAACATTGTAAGCATAGGTCGAATCAGACCAAATGAACTGGGAATGAACCCATCTGGAGATCCAGATAATGTGGACAATTTAATCATTCAATTTATTGTTGTTTTTTTCCTTAGAGTAATTGAACTAGTCGTTCAGTGGTGGACAGTCATCTCTTTATTTTGAGAGGCAAGACTATTAGCAAAGATCCCTGACACAGTGAGGGAGTAAGCTGAAAGACCCTGGCACGTTTTCACTGTTAGGGTGGACTATATGTGTTCATGGTTCGGGAAGCGGCCACAAGAGGAAGGGGAGGGGGAAAGGATTACCCCATAATAAAAATACTTTTAAATTTTGTGTTAACATTTTGAGCAAGTCTTAAAGCTGTGTGCAAGAAAGTACATACAAATTTGGGTGATTAATTAGTACAAACATAACCTATTGAATTTTCTTGATTAATTTAATAGATAAGTAACCCAACCCACATATGAAATGAAAGCAACATTGTAACATTCTCTGCTTCTTCATTAGAAATAAAATTAAATATAAAATGCATGAGAAAACAAGGTATCCACACCACATCGGCAAATGGTGTAAAAACTGTACAACCCATAGGAAACATGCTTATTAATTGAGGCTTGGGAGGTATAGGAAACACCGATTGATGCATTGCCAAGTGGAGATGGGTGTTCTCATAGCCCAAGATGACAGGTATACCAAAAGCTCACAAGATGTGTTTAAAAGAAGTAATCAGGTGAATGTCAATTAAATGAAAATCAGATTTTTTGGAGATTCAGTATTGATATACAGAATTTGTATCTACAGTATTATGTCACTTAAATTAAACATTTAAGTGTCCACCATTATATTCAAAGCTACATTAACATTAGAAAATATCCAGTTAATATATTCACTTCAAAAGGCTCAAAGTGTGTGTATGGTACAGTAAAAGACAGGAATCAGTTCAAACACTAGAAAAGACCCATGTCCATATTGTTGTAAACAGGAGCATTCATATCTCGCTGCATGTTGGATTTGTGCTTGAGTTTAGCCTGGAGCAGTTTCTGCTCCACTACTCCTATGCGAACATCCATGGCTGTGATCTCCTGCCGTACTCGTGTCAGTGCTTTCCGAATGTTCACCAGAGGAGCTGGGGAATACATAGTAATTTATTGTATCATTCAATTCTGTATATTGTACATGAAATTAACAAATGAAATGCAAAATAAGGTAATTTTTAATTTCTGACATATATAGCATCTCCGAGTGTGTTTTTATATACAGTGGCACCTCGACTTACGACTGCCCCTGCTTACGAATTTTTTGAGTTACGACCCCAATTTCGTTGAAAAATGCGACTCAACTTACGACCATTGCCTCGAATAGCGACTTTGTTGATAAACGTATGGGTCGACTGAGCACATGGTTCCTGGTGGCACGGGTGACCCCTCCTCAGTTTACCAGAGCAGCCCGCTTAGTGACGATTGCGCTTGTAAAGAATTAAATTTTTTGTGCTCTTTTGTTTTTTGAACATAAAAGTAATGTTATAAAGGAGGGGGGGACCACCCCTTCCAAACAGTAACACCTTTCCTCCTTCCCATCTTCCATACACCAACAAGAGTCCTCAATAAAAGTAAGATATACATACTGTATTGTAGCTAGCACAAAAAGACTGGTATTTGGTATAAAATGTATTTTTAAGTTAATATGTTTGGGGATGTGGAATGGATTAATTCAATTTACATTATTTCTTATATGAAAATTCATTTCGACTTACGAATTTTCGAGTTACGACCTGTCTCTGGGAACGGATTAAATTCCTAAGTTGAAGTACCACTGTTCTGTATATATTTTCAAGAGTTCTTTCTGCTTTTGCCATCTATCTTATCCATATTCACAACCAATACCTGCTCAAGCAATTCTTTGTGGCATTGTTAGTGTCCTAACAAATGCCAATGATGAAAGCTGAGAGGAGCTACAGTATAAAGTTTCAAGCCACAAAAAGCCATCTATTATGCTTAATGTTTAATTTTTATGGTATACAGTATATGTAAAAATATGAATTAGTTTTTACAAAAATTACAGTGCAGTATTGAATTGCTATTTTTAATGGAGAAAATAGATCGTGTATATTCATGTTCTATTTTCTCAATTAAAAAATATTGATACAATACAGCATTGTAATTATTGTAAAAACAAATTTAGAATTTAATGGACCAGACGGAATGGAACTTTAAATTCAGCGGGTGATTTCTAGTAGAGTACAAATATACTTGAACACGAGTACAGTACAGTGTACTGTACACACATATATTGGCCTTTGTGCAAGCCCAAACAAACGTATTTCAGCCAACTCACTGCCATCAGTCATGCTGGAGCCTCGTTCTTCCATCTCATGCTTTACTCTATCCAGTTCATCAGATATTTGTGCTAGTTCATGAGATTTCTCCACAAGTTTTGTTGACACTTGGCGATATTGTTCTCGACTCTCTGCTGCCACATTCTGGTCAATGATAAATACAAAATAATATGAGCACAATACACAATAGGATCACAATAACATGACTGTATATCTTTGAATATATCTATTAAAACACTTTTGGAGCAGGGTGGTGGGATGGAACCAGCATCCTGAATCCTCCCAGACATACACCTCGCCAATGAATATGATATGCTATAAGTTACACCATAGTGATACCAAATCCTTTTTTTTACGTTGAATTTGCATAAACTCTAGAGTAGCTAATCTAGTTCTTCACCAAATGCTCCTGCTCAATGCATCCAAATTCCTAGTGAGCTTGGGCAGATTCCAGTTTGTGTAACTTACAGCATACTGTATCATGGTCCATTGGTAAGGCATGCATCTGGGGTTACCTTGAGGTGGTTACCTTGAGGTGCTTCCGAGGCTTAGCGTCCCCGCGGCCCAGTCGTCGACCAGGCCTCATCCTGGGGTGACCCAGGATGCTGGTTTGATCCTGCTATCCTGCTACAAAAACTTTCTCATATGTGTACAATATACAGAAAATGTTACTGGTACATAGCAATAAGGCTTTGAGGTCTCAAGATGAGAAAATGCTTTCTGAGCAGTGACACGATCTCTCACTCCCATGTATAGAAAGGGTTACCACCCAACTACAAAGGCAAAATATGCTCAAGTAACGTTTAATAAACATAGGATCAATGTTGATTTGTTGTTACATCAATGTCCTTTATCCAGAATTTCCTGAGGGGCAGGAACATTTTCTCATGTGGTCATCTTGAAGAATAACAAAACTTCAAAAACACAGATAGATATTGCATGATATGTAATTCCTTTCCTGTAATTATGAATAAAGCAAACACGTCTATATGCAGTAAATTATGTAATGTATGTAACAAACCTGAAGGTTCCGATACTCCAACAATAAGGGCTCAAGCTGACCATTTAAGTATTTTTCCCGAGAAGCAATCTTGTCGAGACTACGAGAAATTTCAGAGTGAAGCCCATCAAGTTGCTTTTGAGTGAAGTTGAATGTTTCATTTATCTTGGCTTTATGTTCATGCATTTGCTCAATATGAGATCGCCAGTCACGATTATCTGTAAAAAAAAAATATTATTCAGCCTTACCGTATAATGAGAGCTTAAAATTGCCGTTAGAAAATAATTTTTTTCATTCATAGAAATGTAACTACAGTATTTCTTGCTAGGTATAAACAAGCAGGGAAAGTAATAAGTACTGCATCCTACCTAAACAAAGCTGGTTATTTTACCCATTTAATTTTTCACTTTAAAATTCTATCTCTAGTCAGGTAATGATATGTTAAGATGAAGAAGTATTGATATACAGTATATATATATATAAACACATACATACATACATACATACATACATACATACATACATACATACATACATACATACATACATACATACAATTACTGTACCTACCATGTAACCACTTTAACATGTCCACTGTATATGGTATGAATAAATTAATATTACAGTATCATTATTATTATTGTAAATGTAAACTTATATTGGCTGGGTGTACCTGATCTTATAGTAACTTTTAACTGTGGGAGAACACGTTCCAGTTCCAGTTTCCATTCTTCAGATGTAGTAGTAGAATGTAAGATCTCGTGCGGCCAAGCATCCCCATCCTGTGATCAAATATTGTGTTATTAGTTACGTCCTGTTATATTTAATTCCCATTGAGGCTTGGGAGGCTTGTATTAAGGCTTCCCCCCCCTAGACCATCCACTAATCTTCCCCAGGATGCAGCCAACAACAGTTGCCTAACTCCCACATACCTATTTTCTGCTAGGTGAACAGAGGCATCAGGTGAAAGGAAATGTACCCAACCATTTCTGTCCTGCCTGAGGATCGAACCCAGGAATTAAGAGTTGTAGATCATTCTAAAAATAAGTGGACATAGGCCCCATGGTATCTACATTTTTTAAAATATGAGTCTAATGAAGGTGAACAGAAAATGGGGCCATGGAGTGTCTGTACCAAACAATATAATTCCAATTGCCAGGGCCATGAAGGTTGTGTACATATATATATATACTTTAGACATGTATTGATATCCTCCCAATATCGAATTACTGACCTTTCCATAATGCAACCCTACAAGAATTGCAGTTCCAAACTCTCGGGTACAATTTGGTGCTAGGTGAATGGAGGCATTAGGAGAAAGGAAGCATGCCCAACCATTTCTGTCCTGTTTGAGGACTGAACCTGGGATTCCTGATTATGAGTTGAGAAAGTAGCCACTGTACTAGAGAACCCTATATGTTACTCCAGGACCATATAAAGAATAATGTGTTGAGACTAATGCAGTTCTAGCTAGGATGATCAAACCAAACATCAGAAAATAAAGAAATGACAATATTTTAGTCTGTCCTGGACTATTAACAAGTCATGTAATAGAATTAATTATCAAGTCGTGTAGTAGTTACCAGTGCTAGCTAACCTTCAGATAGCATTTAAGTATATGATTTTTTGTATTATTACTGCAACTGAGTTTAGAATATGCAGCAATAGTGTGGTGCCTACATTTAACACTTTTGCTGCCTGATAATGTCGTAGACATCATAAAACCAAAATATGGAGTATGCCCGATGATGCATTGTTAATAATTTTAAAAAATTTGTAGAAATTCCATTTATTGTCCGAATATTATGGGACTTGTTTTAAAATGTGAGCCAACTTCTGCCTATTCTCTGCATGCCCTGCTTGGCATCCTGACCCCTCCATGTGAACGCCTATCCACGCTGGAGGCTCACTGTTTTCGTGACCTCGTTCGTGACAACCGCGGCCTCCCCTCGAGTCGAAAAGTTTCCCCTTTCTTATTATTTTATCTCAGGTATTTGTTGTTACCAGCTTTATAAACACTGTAAATTGACTTCCAGATGGATACTGATCAAGAACAGAGCCAATCCATGACGAAAACATTGAAAGAAACATATATGATGGAAAAGTTGTTGGGTTTTCATCGAAAGTATAGAAAAGTAAGACTTATATGTTCTTATACGCAAATATCCCTTTACATTACATGATGGCAGTGTCTAGGATGCTCCCGGACACAGGTTCGAATCCTCATCATGGCCCTTGTGGATTTGTTCATTTGATGCATCACGCTATTGTGATTTCTGTGTGTAATCCCTTTACATTATTCTATTGCGAACAATTTGATACCAAATTTTTTTTTTTTTTTTTTTTTTTGAGATATATACAAGAGTTGATACATTCTTGTACAGCCACTAGTACGCGTAGCGTTTCGGGCAAGTCCTTAATCCTATGGTCCCTGGAATACGATCCCCTGCCGCGAAGAATCGTTTTTTCATCCAAGTACACATTTTACTGTTGCGTTAAACAGAGGCTACAGTTAAGGAATTGCGCCCAGTAAATCCTCCCCGGCCAGGATACGAACCCATGACATAGCGCTCGCGGAACGCCAGGCGAGTGTCTTACCACTACACCACGGAGACTGCAACAATTGAACAACTTACCACAAAAAATTGAAGTGAGAAAGCTGAAAACAGAATAAACATTGGAGTGGTGAGTTTTCGGGCAATGCTCGGGCTACCTTGCAGTGCGGGGCAGGTCTAAAGTACTATACTGTATAAGAAAGAAAGAAAGACTTATATGGTCTTATATGCAAATATCCCTTTACAGCATTGTATTGCGAACAATTTAATACCAAATTGAACAACGTAGCACAAAAATTGAGGTCAGGAAGCTGAAAAGAGTATATACATTTTTGTGTGGTGGTGAGCGCTCGGCCTACCTTGCAGTGTGTGGAGGGTCTAAAGAATAGGAGAGAGAGACTTATACTGTATGTTCTTATATGCATATATTCCTTTAGAGCAGTCTATTGCAAACAATTTGATACCAAATTGAACAACATATCACAAACATTGAGGTCAGAAAGCTAAAAAAAGAGTATAAATAATTTGAGGGTGTTGGTGAGTTAGTGCGCACCGTTCAGATTACCTTGAGGTGATTGGTGGGTTGCCCGCCAGGGCAGTGAAAATGTTAAAAGGCAGTCTTCTTAATGCCTGCCTCAAACAGAATAGAGGATACAGGTACAAGATCAAGAGACAATGTTGAAAGAATATTAGAAAATACTTATTCAATCAAAATCAAAATCAATATGTTTAGTGAGGTAAAAGTACATACATAGATTATGAGTTACAAACATAATATTGGATTTATAGATAGAGCTAGTACATACAATACCTAAAGCCACTAATACACACAGCGTTTCGGGCAAGGTGTGGGGAAAAAAACCCACTTAGGCTAAAGCTTAATACTAATTGAGATTTAAGTATAAAGTGTGCAGAAAAAGGAAAAAGGGGGGGGGGGGGGGAAACGTGGCAGAAATCAGCAATTTTACAACTTGGTCAACAAACAGTATTGTTTGAAAATAGCATGACATGGTAGAAAATTTGGGGGTAAGGTAATAGTAATTTAGTAATAGAGTTGTTTGGGAATGGAACAACTTTCAGTAAAAAATTGTATGTGCTAAATCTAACAATTAGTTTTCATGCATTTGAAAACATTCATAAAGAAGATAGGAAATAACACGAATAGCTTCCTTCTTGTATTATATTTATGTAATTACATAAAATTTTTGACATGTACCTTCTGTCTAGTTAAGTCTTTAAGATCATCCATATGAAGGATGTTTTCTTCTTCCTCATCATCATTATCATCATATTCAGCCATCATTTCTTCCTCCACTTTGTCTAGCGTCAATTCTGCTTCATCTTCGACTTCTCCTTCATCACCTCCAGTGTCTTCAGCAGGATATACGGGTCTAGGAATTGCCATGGTATCATCAATTATTTGATCAAATGGCAGTGCATATTAATGGCATACAAGCATCATTTTAATTCATAATTTTTTATATCACATTTATCAGTCACAGATTGTGAAAACTTGCCCTTGAAGGTGGTTAGCAGAAATGTTAATGCCACATAAATATACAAATTTCTCAGATGTCATATCTCTAAGGTAATAAAATGTACAATATTGTAGGTAGACTTTATCAAATACAGTATGTGACACAAAATGACTTCTGCACAAGACTAATGAAACAATTACATTTATTTTTTTAATATTAACTTACAGGAAATAATAAGTTAAGACAGGACGATCCCTTTCCATTGAGGACAGGAAGCTGGAGGCTTGTCAAAGGTCTCCCCATTGTTCGTGAGGAGTCTTTGGACTTTAACCCTTAAGGTGTGAAGCAAGTTATTAGTGAAAAAGTGTGAGGTGGGGAGCAGGTAAGAAAATAAGGTAATTTCTAGAAGAAGGGTACGGTGAAAGGGAAGAATGGTATAAGTGTAAGAATGGGAAGAGGCAAGAATAAGAGGAAGGTAAGAAAAAGGGGCAGGCTTAACTCAGGTCACATTAACAAACGTGAGGCATCAAGTGTTAAGGTCCTCCTAGGCCAATTGCTGACCTTCAAGATGCAGCCTAATGCTGGCTAGTCCAACTTGTAATAGTCAGATCATAGCATCCACCTAGAGAAAAGCCAGAAAAGTAAATTATATTGTATTATACACACATTCATACAGATAAGGTTTACTCACTTTTTCCACAAAAAATTTGATTGCTTCAGTGCAAAGTCTGCCAGACGATCAAGAACAAAGATGGCATGTTCACCATGCCCAGTCTTTAACTTGCTAGGAGGAAAATCAAATGTAACACCCTGAAAGTATTAGCCAAAAACATGTACTGTATTGTCATATATCTTGTATAATAAATAACCCAATCCACACATGAAATGAAAATGTTTTTGTCTGTTCTGGACCTTGTAGTCGGTTCTGGACCCTTATTATATTGTGGTTTAACAAAAATTCCAATCATCTGGAATCACTTTTTGAATTCATGGACAAAATAATGCCAGGTGGCCAAAATCACTTTTACCATTGAAAGGGTTAAAGAGCACCAGTAAGTGTGTTTTAATTTTTATCTTTTTCTTTGTAATTCTTTCTCCATACAATAAATACGTAACTAAGTTACGTACTGTATTTACAAAAATAGGATTTTACTATACTGTATATCTAATCCTGTGGCTGGAACCATGGGATTTTTTTTTGTATAAGTACAAAGTTCTATGGTAAACTTTGCATTGCTAAAGACTGCTCTGCACAGCAGAGCCATATACACTAGTACAGTAATTTGATATTTTTGGGTATATGTTCTAAAGTTGCTTTTCTGAGTCATCACATTCTGTTGCTTCCTAAATTAATTTAATTGTCTTTTGACAGGAACATTCCCAGACACAATAATGTACTGTACTATACTTGCATCACATGACTCATAAAATGCATTAGGGGGGCACTGGAAAGTTCCTTCAAGCACAGAGTGATTAAAAGTAACCCATTCATAAAAATTAAAGCCAGGAAAGTGTTCTGACATTAAACAGTTGGCTTGTTCAGCAACCTTTCACTGACTATCACCAGGCAGTAGCACCATCCACACTTCCAGGTTTGTAAAGCCATCATAGCGCCCCCCCTTCCCCTTCATGTTCAGGGTTGAATTTGGATACAGGCTAAACAAACTACAGCTTAGGGCCTCACAGTCTGAAGAGGACTCTCAAAATCTTGAAACTGAATTATTAAAAGGATATTTTTTAAATTTTAAAAGAGGAGCCCTCCCCCTTATCCCACGCAGATATGTGTCCTGCTCCTATTATTTGTGACTGCTATGTAATCAGCAAGCTGAACTGTGACTATACAATTCTATATTCTTTATTAAAGATGCCATTTATTGTCTTACAAAACTTTACTGTAAATTAAAAAAAATTTTTTTTATATTTTTATGCACGATCTCGTGAGAAAATGTCTGGGTCTGCAGAAGGAAACTTGAAGGTGTCTTGAAGCTAACTCCCATCAGTTTAGTATTGTACTGTATATAAAAGTGGGTTTGGGTTGTAAATATTTTCTTAGAATATATCACCAGAGCAGTGCAAGGGAGCACTATACTGTATGTACTGTAAAAAATTTAGCTGTAATATAAATGTAAAAAAATGTACTGTAATGAAACATCTTTTTCTGGTGGGCCCCTCGGTGGATACAAGGCCGGATTAAGATTTTTGTAGGGTCCTCGGCTACAGGTACTGTGAGGCCTCTAATAATAATTTCAAAAAGTTAAAGAAAATTAAATATATTTTTACGTGGCAAACAATAATTAAGAATCAAACATTTGCTTTGCATAATTTCTTGAATCCCTAGAAGCTACATTCCAGGAGGCCATTGAGGTAGGCCAACCCCAGAAAATCATTAAATATAAATGCAAACTTATAGTCATCACACAGCTTTCAATATTTTTCTTGTACAGCATTATTAAAAGCTAAATAATTTTAATAGACAAAAAATATACACACCAACTGTCTAAGGTGGTCAAGTATGCTGGAGATAGTTGAATTGGGATCATCGTATTCTTGTGGCTGTTCCATGTGCCTCCCTGTCTTGCGAATCAACCATGCACTAAGTGACGTAAACAAATAAAATTGCTCTCCAGGGTTGGTCGCCACAGCAAAATAGTGTCTGCAGAGAGTAAGACATAATATCATGGCTGAAAATTAAACACCCAACCCACAAATGGAAAGAAAGGAAAATGATGACCTTTAAGTCTATCCTTGACTGATAAAGAGTCCAGGATGGACCAAAACATTGTTGCTCTCCTTTTTTTTCACATGTGTGGGCTTCAAAATATTGTCTGAAAAAAATATTTATTAAAGAATTTTGACTTTAATTAAAGTAGTTTTACTTTAGTAGTGGGACCTTGACAGAAAAGATTGAAGTACAATAGAACTTTCTGGTCCATCTACCAGAAAGTTTCTGGTAGATGGACCAGAAAGAATTATGACAAGAAAAACGTTGATCATACATGACAGGGTATCCATATGGATGAGGCTGCTTCAATTTGCTAGACCAATCTGGCATCACAGCACAAAATATATTTTACAGATACCAGATTTCACAATACTGTATTATCTTTAAATTTCACCTAAATATGATGTACTAAATATTTACCTGCTCACTGGTTTCATTCTTAGCTCCATGAGGAAATCTTTATCATAATTGAGAAGTTTGAGTTTATCTAACAAATCATCCATAACAACAAATGGCATGTATGCCAGTCCTGGGCCTCCATCAACCTCCTCAGCTTCCTCTTCAGCAGGACCTCGACGGGCACTCATCCTCCCTTATGTAGTGCTGCAGTGAACAAAATAAATAAGTTGTTTGAATTGATGTGCATAATTATTGGCTTTACATAATATACAATTACTGTACCTACTAAGTGGTTACTGTGTAACCATTGTAACTTTTGTTTTATATCTTATAAATAAAATATTAGTAAAGTACATGCTTAGTGGCTTGATACAGATTTATGCAATGAGGTTGCATTATGTATACAATGTAACTTATGTACTTAAATGTTTGTAAATAAACTATTAATATTATAAACTCTTTAAATTGCTCTTGTTCCTCTCAAGAGGTAGACTGATGATGCTCCTGTTGCCTGCAGGAGATTTAATGTGCTTTACAATATTAAAAATTCCTGAAGATTCTATGTGGATATCATTTAACTCAAAGACCTTTGGCAATCATTTACTATACAGTATCGGGAAAAACTGAATGCCTTATTTTCTTTCTTGGGTATTATTACAAAAATTTACACCATCCATTTACTGATGCCGATGGTAGGAACTATTGATGCTATGCAAGGGTTTTTGTGGACCAGGAAGATATTTGTGATAATGAGAAATCTATTACAAATAGTTTACTTGAAAATTAATTTTCAGAATTTGACATTTTCAAATGCAGATGATGAATCACAATAATGTGGTTGAAGATATGATGACCAAACCACACACCAGAAGATAAAGAGACGATGACGTTTTGGACCCTCCTGGACCATTATCAAGTCGATTGTGATGGGAGTGAGAGGTGCATGAGCATTAAGTAAGGCATGAGTGAGGTAAGGAGCAGGTAAGAGAAGAATGTAAGAGCACGGCAAAAGGTAAGAACAGGAAGAAAAATAAAAATGGATGGGAAGCTGTAAATATAAAGATGCTCTAAATACAAAGCTGTGAATATATAGCTCTAAATACAAAGCTGTGAATATATAGCTCTAAATACAAAGCTGTGAATATATAGCTCTAAATACAAAACTGTGAATATAAAGCTCTAAATACAAAACTGTGAATATAAAGCTCTAAATACAAAGCTGTGAACATAAAGCTCTAAATACAAAGCTGTGAATATAAAGCCATAAATACAGAGCTGTGAATATAAATAAATAAATAAATAAATAAATAAATAAATAAATAAATAAATGTTTATTTAGGTAAGGTACATACATAAAGAGATTAAGCTCTAAATATGTGAAAGTTTTAAATACTGTATATGAAAGCTCTAAATATAAGGAAGCTCTTAATACAAGGATCAGCCCTAGCTAAGCTTCTAGTAGTATTCGTGACGATATAATTAACTCAGGTTCATAAGCTACTTAACAAATTAAAAACTAATTATAGCCCCCCAAAAAACGCAAAAGCTATTCTTGTAGAAGCTTAACTATATGTTTTATGTGTTTTTGTAGATTTAGGGGGCGACGACGCTCTATTTGAAAATGTGACATTATATTTTACGTGCTTTGCCTTGAAGAAAGCTTAAGCAATGAGCCACTTACCACGTGTCAGTGTTATTATCTTGCGAGGTATTTAACTCTGTTTGTTTACATTTTGTCGTCATGGCAACGGCGTTCAGGAGAGACCTGGGTCAATATACTTTTTTAAATTAGATTTAGCTTTAGAAGCTTTATTAATAACTAATTTATACAAATTACTGCAGTTGTGGCTGGTTTGAACGCGTGTATAGCCGTAAAACTTACATTTTACAATTGGTGTGGTGAGATTTATACTGGAATTTATTTTGTTGCATAAAATTATAATGGTGAGGCATACATACACTATATTCAATATCTATATAATTTACATTATATTTATATTTACACGTTAACATTTCATTATAATAATATTTACACGTTAACGTATAATTATATTTGATTAAACTTTGACATTTTTTAGAGTTTGTTAATGAATGATTCCTTAAGGAAGACGTTTAAGAAACTGTTGTTGTGAAGATTGTGACTTCTGGGTGTTGTAGCTGCCCCCAACCCACTACAACAACACGAAGCCTTGGTTGAGGTAGGGAAGGCCCTTCAACCTTGACACACTCGCCTGCTCAAACTGTGGTGGCGATCGTGACATTACATCCAAACAATTTCCTTCATACATAGCAAAACTAAGGTTCTCCCTACCAACAACCTGTATTACAGTAGTGCACTGAAACAACCTGACTCAGTCCATCATCAACCACAGCCTCGCTCTCTACCGCAGCCTCACACTCGACCGCGGCCTCGCTCTCGACCGCGGCCTCGCTCTCGACCGCGGCCTCGCTCTCGACCGCAGCCTCGCACTCGACCTGCAGCCTCGCACTCGACCTGCAGCCTCGCACTCGACCTGCAGCCTCGCACTCGACCTGCAGCCTCGCACTCGACCACAACCTAACCCTAGAGGTTTTCGATTTATTAATCGAAGCGTTAGTAACAAGACACCTAGTGTTGTTCTTCAGTTATATCTAGCTCTGGTTAGGCCCCATTTAGATCATGCAGTTCAGTTTTGGTCGCGGTACTATAGAATGGATATAAATTCACTTGAACGTGTCCAGCGTAGGATGACAAAGTTAATCCCCCAAATTAGAAACCTGTCATATGAAGAGAGGTTAACAAAGCTTAAATTGCATTCACTGGATAGGCGAAAAGTTAGGGGTGACATGATAGAGGTTTACAAGTGGATGAATGGACATCATAAAGGGGATATTAATAGGGTATTAAAAGTATCAACACAAGACAGAACACAAAACAATGGGTATAAATTGGATAAGTTTAGATTTAGGAAAGACTTGGGTAAATACTGGTTGTAACAGGGTTGTTGATTTGTGGAACCAATTACCGCATAACATGGTGGAGGTGGGATCCCTCGATTGTTTCAAGCATGGGTTGGACATATATATGAGTGGGATTGGGGTAGTTATAAATAGGAGCTTCCTTGTATGGGCCAATAGGCCTTCTGCAGTTACCTTTGTTCTTATGTTCTTATGCTTGGTTTGTTCAACTGGGGGTGCATCATGTGTTGTCTGGTTGCACCTCTTCGTTATTTGCACACCATGGCCTCCGTGACCGGGGACGCACTTTGGGTTGATCCGGTTTTCCCTTCTTCCCATTTCCAGGGCACGGGTCTCCCAGGTCATCCGCATTGTTGTTCAGTTCGGCCATCCTGTGGTCTATCCTCGTGCCCATGACGTTTGCAAATTTGCAGCTTTAGCTGCCATGTTTGGTAATGTCTTGGGTTATTCGGGCTTGATAATTTTCTAGGTTGAACATGGTCCTGGCCCCCAGTTACCTACTTAATGTTCCTGGCCCTAGTCGGGTGTGTGTTGCTTTGGGTCGCAGGTTGCAGCCAGTTATCTTGACTTCGAGTCGAGATGCGAGTGGTGGCTGCCTTCTGGGTAAGTCCCTCTTTACGTTTTCTGTGGTTAGGTAACTCCAGGGAGCCAGAGGGGCTCTCCCCAGAAAACCAACATTGAATGAAATGAAATGCCATTTTCTGGGTGAGTCCCGGAGTCTTCCTGACAACCCTCCCTCCCTCCCTCCCTCTGGTTGGTGGTTTTTGCATTTTGATATTCAGCCTCTGAACTGAGGTTGGGTAGCCAGCATGAAGGGTCTGGGCTCTCCCTTCCCTCTCCCAAGGATGTGGAGTTGCGCAGACAGCGGTTGTGATGCCATGCCTGTTTGCTCGTTTTCAGATTGTGGAGTTCTGTTTGATAGTTCTGTTTTCGGTAGCAATTTTAACCAGGTGGAGTCTGTTTTAGGACATCTACTTTTCTGGGTGCCTAACCTGGTAGGTGGTAGACATAGAATGCTTCCAACCACATGGGGGTTTCTATAGGCCATTGCTCCTCGTGCCTCTCTGAGGGGGGCCAGGTTCTGGCTCGTGGTCCCCAGTAGGCTTGAACTTCAATCGAATTGACTGATGGCACAGTCTAATATACAGTACAGTATAGTACAGTACTGAACCGCACATAAGAATTGTGATGCATTACAGCATGATATTTTTTATCTTGTAATATGCATTACAGGAAACTTGAGACAATGGAAGCAGCCTTGGAGAAGATCCTTGCTAATCCTGGCCTGGGGTTGCTGCTGCTGGATGATACTAACCGTGGCGTGGCAGAAGATGTGGAGCAGCTGCGGCAGGAGGTCTCTCATTCTCAGGAGGTTTGGAAATTAGAAAGTGAAACACACAAACGCAACACTGAATATGTATCAGATATGACACAGATGCTGGACAATATACAGGTAACTTAACCACTTTGTGTTTAGTATTTAAATATACAATCAATTATTTATTTAAATACTGAACTAATATTTATTATACAAATATTTATTAAAAAATATTTATTATAAAGTAAATAATATTTTATTTATACAAGTGTATATATGATAGCCTATGAATCCCCCCATTCTTCATGTATGATAAGGACAGTGCATAAAGCCACTAATATGTACAGCATTTCAGACATAATGTAAAAAATATAGGGAGAATAATATACTGTACAGGCTTAATGGGATAATACCATGGGTTCTGTTACTGCCCTCTAGGAAGCCTTAAGGTCAGAAATAGCATTGCACTTCAGAGTTTTATAGATATAGAGTATCCTTGAGAGGATGTAAGAACATAAGAACATAAGAACAAAGGTAACTGCAGAAGGCCTATTGGCCCATACGAGGCAGCTCCTATTCTATAACCACCCAATCCCACTCATATACTTGTCCAACCCGTGCTTGAAACAATCGAGGGACCCCACCTCCACAATGTTACGCGGCAATTGGTTCCACAAATCAACAACCCTGTTACTGAACCAGTATTTACCCAAGTCTTTCCTAAATCTAAACTTATCCAATTTATATCCATTGTTTCGTGTTCTGTCCTGTGTTGATACTTTTAATACCCTATTAATATCCCCCCGGTTATGTCCATTCATCCACTTGTAAACCTCTATCATGTCACCCCTAACTCTTCGCCTTTCCAGTGAATGCAACTTAAGCTTTGTTAATCTTTCTTCATATGAAAGATTTCTAATTTGGGGAATTAACTTAGTCATCCTACGCTGGACACGTTCAAGTGAATTTATATCCATTCTATAATATGGCGACCAAAACTGAACTGCATAATCTAAATGGGGCCTAACTAGAGCAAGATATAGCTTGAGAACCACACCAGGTGTCTTGTTACTAACGCTGCGATTAATAAATCCAAGTGTCCGATTTGCCTTATTACGAACATTTATGCATTGATCCTTTTGTTTTAAATTCTTACTAATCATAACTCCCAGATCCCTTTCGCAATCCGACTTCGCAATCACAACACCATCTAGCTCGTATCTTGTAACTAAGAACATAAGAACAAAAGTAACTGCAGAAGGCCTATTGGCCCATACGAGGCAGCTCCTATTCTATAACCACCCAATCCCACTCATATACTTGTCCAACCCGTGCTTGAAACAATCGAGGGACCCCACCTCCACAATGTTATGCGGCAATTGGTTCCACAAATCAACAACCCTGTTACTGAACCAGTATTTACCCAAGTCTTTCCTAAATCTAAACTTATCCAATTTATATCCATTGTTTCGTGTTCTGTCCTGTGTTGATACTTTTAATACCCTATTAATATCCCCCCGGTTATGTCCATTCATCCACTTGTAAACCTCTATCATGTCACCCCTAACTCTTCGCCTTTCCAGTGAATGCAACTTAAGCTTTGTTAATCTTTCTTCATATGAAAGATTTCTAATTTGGGGAATTAACTTAGTCATCCTACGCTGGACACGTTCAAGTGAATTTATATCCATTCTATAATATGGCGACCAAAACTGAACTGCATAATCTAAATGGGGCCTAACTAGAGCAAGATATAGCTTGAGAACCACACCAGGTGTCTTGTTACTAACACTGCGATTAATAAATCCAAGTGTCCGATTTGCCTTATTACGAACATTTATGCATTGATCCTTTTGTTTTAAATTCTTACTAATCATAACTCCCAGATCCCTTTCGCAATCCGACTTCGCAATCACAACACCATCTAGCTCGTATCTTGTAACTCTATCATCATTACCTAACCTCAGAACTTTACATTTATCAGCATTAAACTGCATCTGCCAATCCTTTGACCATTTCAAAACCCTATTTAGATCAACTTGAAGTGATAGTGAGTCCTCCTCCGAATTAATTTCCCTACCGATTTTCGTATCATCGGCAAATTTGCAAATGTTGCTACTCAAACCTGAATCTAAATCATTTATATATATTATAAACAACAGAGGTCCCAGGACAGAGCCTTGAGGCACTCCACTTACAACATTTTCCCACTCTGACTTGATTCCATTTATACTAACTCTCTGTTTCCTTTGGTATAGCCATGCCCTAATCCAGCTTAATATAGCACCCCCAATACCATGAGACTCTATCTTTTTAATCAGTCTTTCATGTGGCACTGTATCAAAAGCTTTGCTAAAGTCAAGGTATACAACATCGCAATCCTTACCACTATCAACTGCCTCAACAATGCTAGAATAAAAAGATAACAAATTTGTTAAACATGAACGGCCATTTATAAAACCATGTTGACTCTATCATCATTACCTAACCTCAGAACTTTACATTTATCAGCATTAAACTGCATCTGCCAATCCTTTGACCATTTCAAAACCCTATCTAGATCAACTTGAAGTGATAGTGAGTCCTCCTCCGAATTAATTTCCCTACCGATTTTCGTATCATCGGCAAATTTGCAAATGTTGCTACTCAAACCTGAATCTAAATCATTTATATATATTATAAACAACAGAGGTCCCAGGACAGAGCCTTGAGGCACTCCACTTACAACATTTTCCCACTCTGACTTGATTCCATTTATACTAACTCTCTGTTTCCTTTGGTATAGCCATGCCCTAATCCAGCTTAATATAGCACCCCCAATACCATGAGACTCTATTTTTTTAATCAGTCTTTCATGTGGCACTGTATCAAAAGCTTTGCTAAAGTCAAGGTATACAACATCGCAATCCTTACCACTATCAACTGCCTCAACAATGCTAGAATAAAAAGATAACAAATTTGTTAAACATGAACGGCCATTTATAAAACCATGTTGCGACTCAATTATTAATTTATGTTTTTCAAGATGAAGACGAATTTTATTTGCTATTATAGATTCGAGTAACTTTCCCACAATAGACGTTAGGCTAATTGGTCGATAGTTAGACGCAAGTGATCTATCTCCTTTCTTAAAAACTGGTATCACATTAGCAACTTTCCAAAACTCTGGCACTCTGCCTGACTCTATTGATTTATTAAATATGGTTGACAGTGGGTCACAAAGCTCCTCTTTGCATTCTTTAAGCACCCTAGCAAACACTTCATCCGGCCCTGGGGATTTGTTTGGTTTGAGTTTTACTATTTGTTTAAGAACATCCTCCCTGGTAACTGCTAAACTCGTCAACCTGTCCTCGTCCCCACCCACATAGACTTGTTCGGCTGAAGGCATATTGTTAAGTTCCTCTTGAGTAAATACAGATACAAAATATTTATTAAAAATACTACTCATCTCTTCATCACTATCTGTTATTTGACCTGTCTCAGTTTTTAATGGACCTATCCTTTCCCTAGTCTTAGTACGATATAACTGAAAAAACCCTTTAGGATTTGTCTTTGCTTGCCCTGCTATGCGAACTTCATAGTTTCTTTTTGCTTTCCTTATCTCTTTTTTAACATTTCTAACCAGTTGTACGAATTCCTGTTCTAAAGTGACCTCCCCATTTTTAATCCTTTTGTACCAAGCTCTCTTTTTACCTATAAGGTTCTTCAAATTCTTTGTTATCCACTTTGGGTCATTAGTATACGATCTATTCAATTTGTATGGTATACTACGTTCCTGTGCTTTGTTTAGAATATTCTTAAATAAGTTATATATTGAATCCACATCGAAATCCCCATTTAAGTCACCTATCGCTGGGTTCATGTCTCGCTCCAAGACCGGCCCACACCCCATACCCAAGCCATTCCAATCAATTTGACCCAAAAAATTTCTTAGGCTATTAAAATCAGCTTTTCGAAATCTGGCACTTTAACAGAATTTTCTCCTACTGGTCTATTCCATTCTATGCTAAATCTGATTTCTTTGTGATCACTGCTCCCTAGCTCACTCCCTATTTCGATGTCATTAATTTGCGTTTCCCTGTTAGTTAACACTAAATCTAAAATATTATTTTCCCGTGTTGGTTCCTTAATGTGTTGCGTAAGAAAGCAATCGTCAATTAATTCTAGAAAATCTTCTGCTTCACTATTCCCTGTTTTGTTCAACCAGTTTATTCCGCTAAAATTAAAGTCACCCATGACATAAATACTGTTAGATCTAGATGCTCTAGATATTTCATCCCATAGATGCTTTGCTTCCATTCTGTCTAAATTTGGTGGCCTATATATTACTCCTATTATAATATTATTAGCTTTTTCGTTTAATTCAATCCAAATAGTTTCTGTGTGTGGCTCTGTTTTGATTCCCTCTTTGAGACTACATTTCAAATTGTCCCTAACATATATGGCTACTCCACCTCCTCGTCTAATATATCTATCTGTGTGAAATAGTTTAAATCCATATATTTGATATTCAGCTAATAGTTCTCTATTTTCTACATTCATCCACGTTTCGGTAAGTGCAATAATATCTATTTTTTCTGTGCAGACAAGAGCATTTAATTCGTTAATTTTATTTCTTAGACTTCTACTGTTAGTGTAATATACCCTAAGTGAATTGTTATTTTGCGGACCTTCTCTTTCCCTGATCGTTTTGCCAATTCCTTTCTCCCACAAACACATACTTTTATTACCTCCTTCCTCCAAATCAATTCCCATACCTCTAACTACTAACAGTTTAAACCCAAACAAACACCTCTAACCACTTCTTCTAGCGAGTTCGCAACAGCAACAACCCCAGCTCTCGATAGATGCACCCCATCACGAGCATACATTTCATTTCTTCCATAGAAGTGTTCCCAGTTGTCTATGAAAGATATTGCATTTGATTTGCAATATCTTTCCAGCCGGCAATTGACACCAAGTGCCCTCGATATCCATTCATTTCCCACTCCCTTTCTTGGAAGAATGCCACATATGATCGGGATTCCTCCCTTGCTCCTAACTAACTCTATGGCTGTTTTATACCTCTGAATCAGTTCCTCACTCCTGACTCGACCAACATCATTTCCTCCCACGCTAATGCAAATAATGGGATTGTTCCCATTACCAGCCATAATATCATTCATGTTGTTTATAATATCACCAATGCCAGCTCCGGGATAGCAAACCCTTAACCTGTTCCCCCTATCTCTAGCACAAAACGTTCTATCCAAATACCTTATCTGGGAATCTCCCACAACTAATGTTTGCTTAGGTACTTCCTTTACTTTCTGAGGGGCCTGCGCTTCCTTTCTCTTCGTTGCTTTCCCTTTTGCGCGATCCACAGTCTCTCCACAGCACTCGTCCTCCAAAACGTCAAATGAATTTGAAGTTGCTATGGCGTTTGAAGGCGGCTTTATCAAAGTCTTCTTAAGGCCCCTGTCTTTCGCAACTCTCCAAGACGAGGTCCCTTTACTGCTGGTCTCCTCCTCCGTTACTTCTCGTAGTTTTTTAAGCTGACGCACCTCCTCCCGCAGAGAGTCCAACTCTGTCCTCAGGGCTCCCACTAGAGTCACCAGGTCCTTCACTACAACTTCCATATTGCTATAACAACACTCAGGAGCTCCGGTTAACACAACCTCTCACTGTGACTTCACCTGACCGACATTGCTGCACCTGATGTGCAGCAATTTGATACTAAACATATTCAAAGATTTCAGTAAGGGAAAGGAGTGGGGTCTGGGACTGGAGTTTTTATTGTTCTAATTTCTGATTTGTATTGAGCAATTAGGGGTCATAGGTAATTTTTGGTTGTAGACCCCCAGGCACAGATAAGATACATGAGCAGATAAGTGTTACCAAGTCAAGGTGAGATGCATAGTGTGTGATCTTGGAGAGAGAAATGCCTACTGCTTTAGAAACTATTTTTGGTGTATTTTGTACATGTTATATTTTGTACATACTGTATTTTTTAGTTCAGTATTCACTATCATTTAGAGCAAGTGGGTTAGCATTAGAGAAAATGAAGGTTCTGTCATCTGTAATTAGAATTAGCTTAGTGTCAAGTGGCATTTGGAAGGTCAGTGATGTAAATGAGAGAGTTATAGTGTGGCCCAAGTATACCACCCAGTGCAATGCCCGTGTTAACTGGCAGGGTGGGAGTACCAGTATCATTCACAGAGACATACTGGTGCCAGTCACAATGTTAAGATTACAAATATTGAAGGGAGTGTTCTCTTGCTCCATAGCAACTTTATTTATTTTTTATTTAACTTGTTTACTTTGACACTATCATTTCAGAAATTGGTGCTTGCACACCACCAAGATATTGAATTTGAAAATAAACAAGAGAAAGCAGCAAGCAGTGAAGCAGATGGCATTGTACGACAGTGCAGAATGAAACAGGCAGATTTGGCCAATATCCACGAAGCCTCAGAACTGCTAGACACCCATGTAACTCAACGGAAACGAGAACTTGAAGATTTACAAAAGAATTTGATAGGTGACTCCAGTTTGCTAAAGGAATTACTGGACCACTTAGCAGAAGTTGATAATGATAATTTGTTGTTATTGCAGTATTCTGCAGAGGATGCCTCCAAAATTAAGGTAATACTTCTCTTGCAAGATAACTACTAGTATTTATTGTTTTAAATGGTTTTTATTGTACTGTACTTAAAAAGTGGGACATCCTAACTACCAACATATTTAATTATTATGTATATTTTTTTTAGATCCATTGCACCATTTTTTACTAGTACTGTACAGTACTTTTTCCATATAATTTCAAATCAAACTTAAATCTTTGTCTTCTATGCTACAGTATATCATACCCATTTAATGAATGAATGTAATCTCCTTTTCTAAGTGCAGAGTATTATTTTTGACACCAAATTTGTTTAAGCGTTTTCTAGTAACCCCCCCTCCCCTCCCTCTGTAGCTTCCCTCATATAACTGACAATTACCAGACAGACGTAGCCTCCTTCCACCCCAAGACCAAACTTCAGTAAAGGGATTGCTAGTTCCTGAAATAAGAGATGGATGCTTGCCAGGATGAAGCAGCCACTAAATTCCACACCCTGAAAGTAATAATAGATCCAAATTCCTGTAGAGAAGTACATTATTCAACATAGAGGCAAACAAAATCGGTGCCTCCAATCTTCTTTGGAGTGGTCCTAGTAGCAGAAATAGCTTACAATGTGGAATAATTCTCTATCAAGTGTTTATCAATACTAAAACATCATAGGACACTCTTAAATAAAATAAACATCTGGTCATGAAGACTCTAAATTTAGAAGCATTAATAATTGTTAAATGTTAAATTAAACAAGCTAAATGTAGCAGTACAGTACCTTTAAAGTCCCAGACAAAAGAATGAATGCAGTGAAAATAACTCTTGGCTTGTAGAGAGGGAGCTGCCCTCTTGACTCTGGGAAACTTAGGAGGACGGGCTGTATAATTTGAGCACTAATGTGTTTTTATTTTCTACAGGAGCTTAGTGTTGCTCTGGAGCGTATTAGTGGAGAAGTAGCAGCCAGCGAGGCAGAACTGTCCAGTGCTCAGGCAGAAGCAGCAGCCGCACAGACGGCTTTGGATCAACTTGGTACAGCTTTTCTACATGCAGCTGCACATCGTGATCACCTCTTGGCCCAGTGGGAGATCACACTTAATCACATCTACCAGAAAGCTAATGAACAGACTAATTACATTGAGGTTAGTACTCATGATCTTAAAATGTATAAATTACAGGCTACTGAAATTATAGTGTCCAGGACTTGGGCTTAGGGAAGATATTACAGTAGTCACAACCTATACAAGATGATTAACTAATGAATTTTAAAACCTACCTAGCCCAGCTCAGCCCAGCACAACCCAACCCAACCCAACCCAACCAAACCAAACCAAACCAAACCCAACTGATCCTAACTCAGCCCAATGAAGCTAATACATCCTAACCTAATGATTTATAGGGTTTTGACCAGTTGCATGTATTCCAAAGAAGCATTGCTTACCCCTATAAAAATTATTCCCTTCCAAATTAAAATATCTTTAACATATTAGTTATTTTTAGTCTTGAGATTTTCAAGCAGCATTTGCTTCTTGAAAATCTATCCCCCTCAGACATGCAACATTTCATTTACAGTAACATCATTCTGCCCTCATACAGAATAAAATTATTTGAATAATATAATATGAAATAAATTAACTTTTGTTATCACCACTTTTTCCAAAATCATGGAAATAAAGTTCATATCATTCTAATATACCTGTGGAAAGCATTTTGATGCAGGAATGTCTCCTCAATAATATTTATTATCGTTGAGTTTAATTTACATAAGCACCGCATTCTCCTGTGTGCTCCTCCCTTTCTACTATTACTACTACTCCCTACATTTTCTGCTCACAGCACAGCATCATTACTAGTTCAGTAAATTCAGCCGTAAATTTGTATATGTAAATAATAATTATCTAACTTTTTTTTTTGGTTACACAGTTTCGTAAACTATAAGACTCATTATCATAGTACTTGAATGATAATGTTAACATTTTGGAATACTGTAAAATAATATAGGGTTGATTTATAATGGTATAAAAATGTTTGAATCTGTTAAGTCTTGTTTTGAAAGAGATGGTATCACTGTGTGAGGCTGCTGCTCATGCAACACGCAACCAAAGACACGGTTGACTTTCAGAGGTTATGTGACATTTTGTGCATTGATTTAATTTTATTACCCTCAAACTGATAATGCCATTGCAGTGTTCACAGTTTATTGTTGGGCATGTCTTCTGTTTTCAAATGATAAAAATGTATGCAATACTTAGGGATATAAAGATTTATCAAATATACTGTATTCAAAATTATTGCGTGATCTTTAGAGCAAGCCAGAATTTTACAGAAAAGTTACTGATCATTTTACTTGTAAGCCAAGAAGAATTCCATTGGACTAAGTTTAAAATGGTAAGTTAAAATAATATTTTATGTTACTACCAACTATTTTATGTTAAATTAATACAAAAATTATTAATATTCATACTTCTTCTTCATCAAAGATCTTAACTGGATAATTTGCATACCCTAGCATTTTTTCACAACATGCCACTGGTTTTGATAATCAGAAATTGAGCTTGTTGAACCATCCTGTGAATGATTTAACCACACCGTGTTCTTTGAGCAGCCATAACTAATTCTTCTTGCACAGTTATGCAATAGTATCTAGAATAATTTAATGCAATAATAACTTATTATTATTGCTGGTATTATCAATAAGTAAGCAATGGTAATGTCTCATCACAGACATAATAATATGGATAAAAAACCTACACTTGTGTACTTAGGTATTTTATATACGTAAGGTAGACTGTACAAATATATAAAGAGTTGGACTACACCAAGTCTTTTGCACTATCTTGAGAGCATTACCAAAGTCTTGAGTACTGTATATGATTTGGACAAGACTTACATCTCGATAACTAATACAGTTGCTATCCTGGATCCAGCTCTCTTATTCTTCTTGACCTCCTGACCATGTCGCCTACTTTTCCGACTGCTGAAGTTCCCGAGGGGATGTCTTCTAGGGAATTAAGCTCGGTTGCCATATCTATCGGTTGCCATTTCTATAATGGTATCCGTCTGACTGTTAACCCTCGTAACTCACTCCATACCCATAGGAGAATGGCTGATGGGACTACTTGGATTTATTCAGCTGTTCAAATCTAATATTAATTCACTCAATCTTTTTTCTTGTAAAACTTCTGCAGAATTAAAACTTCTGTTTCCAGTAAAATTATTTAATGTATTAATCAAAACTCCTATTTCCCTTCAAGTTTTAATATTATTACTTTTATAGATTATTTCAGAATTCTTAAAATCAATATTGTGATCCATTTCCCAACTATGGTAAGTTCCATTATCATTCTCTGTGGTTAGTTAGCTTCAGAGATTTGCTGGGAGGCTCCCTATTCCCCTAGAAACCCAGCAATGAATCTAATAAAACTCCACTTTTGGATTTTCTGGTAGACCCCGGTAGTTCTCGGACTTCCCTCCCTTCAGCGAGTTGTTCTTCAGCGAGTTGTTCATCAGCGAGTTGTTCATCACCTCCAAAACTGACCAGGAGAGCTGGCTGCAGGCAGAAGTGAATTTCTCGTTCCATGTGAATAGTTTGTGGGGATGTTTGGCAGTTTTCAAGGCTTCAATTTCTGTGAACCCTTCAGTTGTCCATAAAGCTTCCCTGACTTTATGGATGCTTTCCTGGTGGGGTGGTGAATTGTCACTCGCTTCTTGTGCCTCCGTGAGGAGACCAGATTCTGGCTCTTGTTCCCAGTAGGCCACAAAGGACTTCCATGAATGATGTGACCTTTTATCATGGAGCAATCCTAATAAGATAACTTCAGGGAGCCACCAGGGCTCTACCAGAAAGGTGTCTTTCATTACATTCAGCGCTGGGTTTTTCTCGGTTTTTGGTTGCTCTCTGATCCCAAAGCTTTCCTTTGCCTTACTACATTTAAGAGAGAGGCAGATTCTGATCATGGATTCCAGGGTTGGAGTGTGTCTAAAAAAAAAAATGGGCTGGTGTAAATTTTTTTTTAAGGCATGGCATCTCCATTGCTTCAACTAGAAGAGCTACCTAGTAGCTCATAAAAAAAAGGGGGGGAGGGGGTTTGCTACAGTGCTTGATATTTCTTCCATGGAGACTGTTGTAGCAACCAACAATGTCAATTAACCAAATGCTCTTGTCCCCGTCACCGTAAAAAATTGTCGAAATTAATATACAGTACTGTAGTTACAAATCTCCTGATTTGAACAAATCCTATTTGTTAAAATAGATGCATCACGCTATTGTGATTTCTGTATGTCTCCTAATTTGTTATAAATTTTGTACTGATAATCAATTTGTACTTATTCTAATCAATGCTTATTAGATACACTTTATTTAGCAGCAGATAACTTTGTGGCATCATTTTCAGGATTCGTTAGCAGTACAGCAGAAGATTGGGATACTGAAGGGAGAGGTGAACAAAGAGAACCAAATTTTGAGGCAAATTCAGAATTCACGGCAAGAAGTGGTAGACAATATTAAAGTTACTGGAGAGGAAGGGGCATTTGTTAAAGAACAGTACCAAAGTGTGTTCTCAACTAGAGAACACATTGAATCTCAGGTAAGCAAGTTTAGAAATACTGCATGCCAAATTCATAGTTATTATTAGTTATATAAATTGGGGTACCAGTCTCTTAACCCTAAACAGTTTATCTATTTAAAAGTCCATCATGGTGTGCATGACAAAAAATAGTTCACAAGACTAGTATAAAAAAAAAATTCATTTTGGAAATTTGAGCACAGGCGTTAATATCAGATACAGTAGTGATTACAGCCATTTAAGGCTTAAGGCTTAATAGAATTGTTATGTACCATAATTCTTGAAGTATCATCAGTATCTGAAGTATCATCTTGGGTATCATCAGTTTCTGAATATATGATATTTGCCTGCATAAAGGACACACCTACTTTACAAGGATATTTTGTGTATTTTTTTAACCCAGTACATTTCATCATTTATTGAAAGTACTGTAATTATCAAGTGGTTTTGTAGGAGAAAATGTATAAATTTTGTGCATGTAAATACACAAAAAGAAATTGTTGTTGGAAAAACAAAATAAGGTTGTTGGAAAAAGAAATGAGCATTCTATCCACCTGCAAATCAAGCATGGTTTGTTCAACGATGAATGTTTCATTTCATTAACTACCAGTACATCAATGGTTTTTTGTTTTTACATTTGGAGTAAAGCTGATGTGATAATAGTGCATGTGCATTTTTTAACTAAGTGATTGTAATGGAATGAAATAATAATTTCTTTATCTACTTGACAGCTATGGGCTCTTCAGAATGCTTTCACTAAAGTCAATAAAGAAATTGAAAGCTTAAATCTTCGATTGTCTGAACAAGAAGAATTTCGAAAAGAGAAAGAGGCATTGCTTGCAAGTATAGAACAACAATGCCAAAAATCGGAGGAGAAGTTGACCATTAACACGGAACTTGTGTTATCTACCGAAGAGTCTTTACACTCCTTGGAAGTCATGATAAAGGTATGATGTAAGTCTTAACGTCAAGCATAATATTGGTTATCGGGGTGTTTAAATTCAGTTTGGTGAAACCTCGGTAGTCGAACTTAATTCACTCCAGGACGGCAATCTGTTTGAGTATCAAATAATTTTTTTCCTATGAGGAATAATGTAAATTGGATTAATCTGTTCCAGACTCCCACTCCCCAAAATGCACTGATAAAAGTATTTTTACTTGAAATTTAACTCAAAAATTACAAGCCTAGCATATATAAATCATACAGAAAATCCAAAGCAATTGATAAAAATCAATGCAAATTTATTCTCACTTTACCTGTACTTTGGAGAGTTGATGGCATATGTGGAAGATGGTGAGCAAGAGGAGGAGAGATGCTATTGCTATCCTGAGGTCATCTCAAGATGATTTCGGAGCTTAGCGTCCCCGCAACCCAGTCTTTGACCAGGCCTCCTTTTTGTTATACACCCCCAGGAAGCATCCCGTAGCAGCTGTCTAACTCCCAGGTACCTATTTAGCCCTAGGTAACAGGGGCATCAGGGTGAAAGAAACATTTTGCCCATTTGTCTCCGTCTCCACCGGGGATCGAACCCGGAGCCTCAGGACTGCAAATCTGAAGCACTGTCCACCCAGCTGTCAGGCGCTCCTGGCTTGACAGGGACGTTTCCTATCCAGTAATATTTGTTTTTGCCTGTGTTTTAAAAAGTTTCAAAAAGTGAGGCATAGTACAGTATTGTCATTCAACAGGTTTATAACAGCTTATCATTTGTAAAGGAATTCTGCAAGTACAGTCTACCCAAGTATTTTATGGTTTTTATTTACTACCTCCTTCCTTGCTTACCTGGGGAATATCTGGAGAGGGTCTTGGGAGTTCTTTTACTGGTCTGAGGCTTGCTTCGACTTGTGATAACTTGGTCTTATAGGCTACTTTTGTTTGGAGCGGCCCTCAGGTCACGTCCGACAGACGGACCTGATTGGTCCGGCATTTCTTGAATACATTCACGTTTGTTCCTGCAATATTATGTTCCTGCAATTAAGTTTAATATAACAGACAAACATATATGGTTTGTCACAGCTAAGAACATCTTCCATTCTCTCCTCCTCTGAAGTAAATTCCTCAGCTGCCTTGTGTGTGATATGCATTTGTATGGTAGAGTGCTGAGCAAACAGTTGATTACTGAACTTTTTTTTTTGGCCAAAGTGTTTGAGTGTTAAATTGTTGAAGTTCAGATCCTTTCGAGGGCCGAGGTATCACTGTACATTCCTACTAATTCCTGTTTTTGGGGACAGGAAAAAACTTGGGCTTTTTGAGGTCCCACATCAAAGGGTATTATTAAAACAGTTATTACACAGTGAAATACAGTACTATGGAGTTAACATGTTGAGATAATTAGTTTATTTACATTAGTTGAGCAGGAATAAATTTATAGAAGAATTTTAGGCAGATAGGATGCAGAGAACACATTCAAACATACAGTATTTAGAATTGTAATGGTTGACCAAGATTTGTGTGTAATGTCATAACATGTGTTAGGAGAAAAAGTGTTAAATAGAAAAAGTAACAGGACATTCCATATTTTTTAAATACTGTACATGTAAGTATCTTCATCATTCAGAATTAATATTTAAAGCTGCTTGCATTTTATATTCTAGGAGGCCGAGGGCCTGGTGAAGGCCTTAAACAAACAGAAGGAGAGGGTGATGGAAGCAGAGTTGCATCATAAGAAAGCTGTGGCCATGTGGCAGCAACAGGAGGCTACAATAAAAGGAGAGATAACGGCGTTACTTTCCACAAAGACTCGGAACTTGACATACATAAAGGAACTAGATGGCAGAGCAGTGAAACAAAAAGAAGTACTTCATGACCAGGTACGGTGTAGTATTGTTGTATGATATACCCAGAAGAGAGTAGGCCTTGTGGATATATATTTTTTATATATGTGCCTAGGGGTCACATAATGTGTTGTGTACATTTAGACTATATTTCTGAGCTATTCCACTCATATGTTTTCTAAGGTAATATTATTGAAAGTCCAATTAGAGAGGACCTTTGTTGTCAGATCAGGGTGACATTCTTTACCAGTACAACAGTGATCTTTCCAAAAGTTCTTGTTGGATCATACTGGTACAGTACTAGTTATGATGTAACATTCCTTCATAACATTAAACGTACTGCCATTGTGAAAGTTATACATGAACCATTTTCCCTTGTATATAACTGATGGGGATTATGAAATTTAACTAACAATGTGATCTCCTTGAATGTGACTTCATTTATTTTCCATGTTCAAATATTTATTTTTGTGGCAAAAAATGACACTTATGTCATCATACCATGTAATATGTGTGAACCAGTAGTGAGAGCATACCTGGTTACCTGGTTGATACCTGGTTGATGGGGTTCTGGGAGTTCTACTCCCCAAGCCCAGCCCGAGGCCAGGCTTGACTTGTGAGAGTTTGGTCCACTAGGCTTAAGCATCAAGCATCAAGCTTAAGCATCAAGCTTAAGCATTAAGCATCAAGCTTAAGCATTAAGCATCAAGCTTAATCCAAATTAATTTTGAGCTGAAAATTCAGTTAACCACTGCACTGCGCAGAGCGCGGGCCGCTCCAAGCAACAGCCTAGTGGACCAAACTCTCACAAGTCAAGCCTGGCCTCGGGCCGGGCTTGGGGAGTAGAAGAACTCCCAGAACCCCATCAACCAGGTATCAACCAGGTATCAACCTTATAGGGCCCGATTGGGGGTGTGCAGAGCACTATATGGAGCTTTTAGGTATAGGGAATAATTCAAAACTCCCACGGGTACACTGGGCTCGCATCGTCTACCTCAGAGACTCCTGTAAACAGACCCCCATCTTGAAAAAAAAAATGGTTCGCATCCATGCTGGCTGTGAGAGCCTTAGTACTGAGAAAACCACCAAGGCTAGCACATGCAGGAGCAGTGCACAGCAATGCTGTGCAGATAGAGGCAACATCACTACAGTACTTAGTAATGATGAATAAAATACGTAACTGAAATTATTTTGCGTTGATAGTATCATAGATGATCCTGACTGTGATAAAGATTATGTACAATGTTCAGATATCAGTGAATACAATGCTAGTTATGATACTCACAGCATGAGGTACAGACACCACACCCAATCATTGTTTCCTTCATCTATGGATCATTAACTGACATTATTTTCCTTCACTAATGTTCATTTCCTTATGGAAATGGATTCATATTCGGGACTTTGTGACAGGAATGTGATAATAACGGCAGTTTTGTAGCTAGTCGTAGTGAGATGTGTAGAATGTTGGAGTCATTATCTTGCATCATGTGGCTGCTGGCGTCGTCTGCTTGTGGCTCCATGCTGTGTTTTGATTTCACCACCATACCCACCAGAGCTACTTATTAGTTTATGGTGCATATAAATATTGATAGTGATATATAAAGTGCATATATAGCGTAATAATAACAGGAACACTGGTCGATCTAAGAATATAATGTCATCATGTATGAGCCCCATATTTTTGAGAATAGCAATGTTCTGCACATTTAACTATGTGACTTCCACATATTACACATTATTAAATAATATTACTACAAAAAACTAGATATAAAATCATTCACAGACACTGAAATAATTATGTAAAAATTTATTTGGGGCAGCCCCTGCCATACTCGATTGTTGGCCGCTAGGCTGACCTTGGATTCTTATTCTGTGTACATAAACTCTCAACACACGATCTTTGTGGGTCATTGTTATAATTTAACTTGTTTCTTGTTACAGTATGAGTTTCAGTGCTGTTATGGGGAGTATCAAGTATTAAAGGGAAGGGCCAACAGCTAGAATCAAGATGTATCAGAGTTAGTGGCACAAATAGGCCCGGCCCCCAAGGAACATAGGTTCCCGTTTATGCTTTAAGGTTTTAGAACAGATCTGTCGTCTGGGATACAATCATCTATGCCACTACAATGGGAGTAATGGATACACCTCAAAAACTAACTTATTTATTAAACCCTCTTAACAACCCCCATATACATTAACAACCATAACAATAACTACTTTACCACACTATCTGATGTTAAAAGCCTTGGTCCACATAGGCAGGATACAAGGTTTTACAAATAGGACAAGCTAGGGTAAAGTCTACTTGGCAAGGGACACTAGCAAGGGACACTAGCAAGGACTCTAGGTAGCTTGGTACCACTTGAGCACACATAGTTCCACTGAGCCCCCTTAGAGTAACTTAGCAATATAAACACTAGTGTAGCCTATACATATTACTACACACTTATGCCAGAAAATGAACATGCAGCACGATACTTAGCTTTGTAAACTAGACACAGGATAAGGTACAAAAAGAGGAGAAAGAGGAGAAGAATCGAGGCAGAGCCCTCGCAGGAAGTTGTTGACACCACACCGCCAGACCAGAGAAGGACCCAGCATCCAGTCGCCGAGCTCCCAAGTTGTTGTTGTGGTTGCCGGGAAGAGCCTAATTGATCGTGCAGCTACAAACAATACAAGTCTTCACCGGCCTTCGTTACTTTACTAGTTCTAAGAATAGTTAATAATTACTTCACTGTTATACTTAATCAACCACAAGCTCAATCTTTTAATGCTCTATGAGAAACGAGATTCGTCTTACGTCTGGCAAGGAAGAAAGGGACAAACGCGCATCAACAAGCGCATCAAATAATGTAAAGTAAATTATTTAGAGTTCAATTTGACCTCTGGTTTCCCACTAAGAAACCCAGGGTCGTAACACTCATTATAGTGTACAAAATTGTAAATAGTTATATACAGTGTGTGTGTGTGTGTGTATATAGTGTAATAACAACAAAAACACACTCTGATTGATCTTAGAATATACATATCACATATATGAGCTGAATAATTTTGAGCATAGCAATTTCCACACATTGAACTATATAAATTCTACAAATTACACATTTTTAAATAATATTACAGCAAAAAAACAGAAAAGAAACGATTGAGAGACATTGAAATAATTGTGAAAAACTATTTTCGCGCCAACTGCCGCCCCCATGGACGGGGGTGGCGGGGACGAGCGTTCCCGAGCGTTTCATCACTTGGCTCCCATAATTTGCTCAACTTCTCGGCTCCATCATGGCTAAAGTATGCCACATATAATATTTTATTTTAGTTTCCCATAATCAGAGACTGCATTTTAGCAATACAAGAAGAGAAAATAATTTTTGGGAAATAATTTATTTTCGGCACACCACATGGGTGTCATATTTTAATGCAGCGCAGTGCACTGGCTAATGAGCAAAGTGGTCATTGACAATGCTTGAGACCTTTTGCCCAATTTGGGATGAAAGCTGCCTTGAGAGAAGCGTACTGGGACTTTGTGCTGTGTCCAGTAGCCTGGTTATCTCAATTATCAAGACTTTATTCATTGCATCCAAACAGTAACTAGATCATAAACCTTCTGGTACATCTGGGGTTCCTATGAACCAGTTTATGTTCAAATAAGATATCACTGAACCATTGTCCACCTCCTGTTGGATATTTCAGTTAAACTTGGAGAATAAAGTTCATATTTCATAACATGATTGTCATCAATATCTTCAGTAACTTCTAGCTTTTACTAATTTTTTATACGTGCTACAGTGAGAACTTGCATAACTTTTTTTTTTGAGTGCTCTTTTTATATAGCTAATACTGGAATGCATTTCCATTTGGAAAAGTTATTTAACACTGCATTATATCCCAGGAATTAAACATGCAGCAGCTTCGTCGACACATCCACGACCTTACTCACGACGGCAACAACAACGTTGTCAGTGCCGACCAACAGAAACATTTGGATCTTTTAAATCTGCGGCTTCAGGAGGTTTCTGCTACAATTAAGATACTTTCAAAACAACTTGTGATTCTTAAGGTAACTATCTCAACCAATTTCTTTAGTAAAGCATGCAGTTTTTCACAATACTATATGCAGTATAATAGCCACCTAACAGGAAGCATGAGGTTCTTTACTGAAAGATGTAGGTCGAGGCAAGATTTTAGATTCGTGTTTCTCGATCACTTCCTTAATTGCGTTTAATATTACTTCCAATCTGGCCTATAGTTGTATTTCGTGGAATTTGGTAATACAGTATAGTTATTTAACTGCATTTCAGAATACACGATCTAGGGAACAGGCAAATTTGTCACAACTCGAAAAATATTCTCAGAAACTAGATGCAGATGTATCTACAGTCAAGATGGCTAGCAAGAGTGCAGAAAGGTAAATATGAAGCTCTCTTTCTCTCCCTCCCCTGTCTCTTAACATTTGCATTCCTGTACAGCCCCCTGCCTCTTCCCACTTCCTACTTACCCTTATCCACTTTCAGTGAAATTCTCCTGTCCATCCCCTGTCCATTCCCTATTCATTTCCCTTACCCATACCACCATTCCACCTCCTTTCTCATTATTATTTAAGTATTTTACTTAATCATTTTGACTACTTCAGTGTGTTTAATGCCAATACTATTTACTGTTACTGTTTAAGAAAGTGTGAAAGTTTAAATTTTATGAAGCACTAATGCATGCACCGCACCATTGTAATTACTATGTCCTTGAATCATGCGTAATGTATTTCTAGAGTAACGCCAGTCCATAAAGGAGGCAATCCGGCGGACATAAACAATTATAGACCAATATCAAATTTACCCATTCTATCAAAAATATTTGAAAAAATTATTTACAAACAGCTCTATTCCTACCTTGTAAAATTCGACATACTCAGCCCCTGCCAGTTTGGCTTCCGGTCCCAAAAGAGTACCAATGATGCAATCATTAGTCTCCTTGACATTATCTACTCAGCCCTTGACAAAAATGAGTTTCCGATTGGACTCTTCATTGACCTAAGAAAAGCCTTTGATACTGTTAATCACAACTACCTCTTACTTAAACTCCAGCATTATGGAATCCGAGGCCTTGCCCTTGACTACATCCGATCCTATCTTAGTGACAGACACCAATATGTAACCATCAATGATACAACTTCTTCCACTCTACCAATTACCGTTGGAGTGCCACAGGGCAGCATCTTAGGACCTCTTCTATTTCTTATATATATAAACGATCTGCCTAATGTCTCTAATATTCTCAAACCTATATTGTTTGCTGACGATACTACCCTTATCTACTCAAACCTCAACCCACATACACTAAATAATGTTGTGAATAATGAATTAAAAAAAGTCCACTTATGGATGTCAACGAACAAACTAACATTAAACATCGAAAAGACTTACTACATCTTATTTGGAAGCAAATCATCAAATGCAATTCAGCTACAGATAGACAACATTAACATCAGTAATAAAAATGATGGCAAGTTTCTTGGCCTATTCCTAGACAAGAGACTCAACTTCAGCACCCACATTCAACACATAACTAAGAAAGTCTCTAAGACAGTTGGTATACTCTCCAAAATCAGATATTATGTTCCTAACTCTGCTCTCCTCTCACTATATTATGCACTAATCTACCCCTATCTTAATTATGGTATCTGTGCATGGGGGTCTACCACTGCAAACCACCTTAAGCCCATCATCACACAGCAAAAATCTGCTATCAGAATAATAACTAACTCTGCTGTCAGACAACACTCAGCTCCCTTGTTTAAATCCCTAAACTTGCTAAATATTAACTCCCTCCACACATTCTCTTGTGTCAACTACATTTACAAAACCCTGTTCTTAAATGCAAACCATGCTCTGAAACTCTCCCTGGACAGATGTAATAGGACCCATTATCACCACACCAGAAATAAATATCTCTTTGATATCCCCAGGGTCAAACTTAATCTGTGTAAACACTCTATGCAAATTAAGGGACCTAGTCTATGGAACTCACTCCCTAGTGAATTGAAAAACTGTAAAACTTTTGCCTTATTTAAAAGCAAAACCAAAAAGTACCTAACTTCATCTATTTAGTTTCCTACACTGAGCTTTAAATTTGCTCTGTACCTAGTGTTACCCAATCTCCTAATTTTTATGTAATATCAAACAACCTTATCATTGTGTTCATTGCTGTCTTCTTTTATGTGCTAGCCATATGCTGTATTGTGACTACCAATTTTTGTCAACTACCTAAAAAAACTATGGTTTAGTATACACAGCTGATTTGTTACCTTGTTTCGTAATGGCCATATATTGTATTGCCATTATGGGTGTGTGTGTGTGTGTGTAATCACAGTGTGATTACAGTACTGCACTGTAAAGCCTGAGAATACAGGAAGCACAGTATGTGGATACATATGTGAGTGCCATATAAATGCCTGTATCTTAGCTGATTACATAATCGCATCAAAGACTGTCCTTCTCTCAACCAGTTTAAAAAAGAAGCCAAGAACTATCTTAATAAATGCTATGTAACCTACATTACTTCCTAAATGTCAGCCTATGTTTTGCTATTATTAAACATTAATTATTGAACCTGTACTGTTGCTGTTACCTGCAGTGTAAGAAATTTTCTACAAAATTGTATTCCTTCTCTTTATTCTGCAAAATAACTCTGTTGCACTGTTACAATTTTGCTGTTGCATCCATTATGTAATTATGTCATTATATATCTATTTCTCTACTTGATTGTTGGTTTTGATCTCATTTAGTTTTATGTTAAGTTTTCCCACATTATGCCAAAAATGCTGTGTACTTATAAATTCATCAATCTGCTTGTATCCTATGTATGTATTTATTTTTTCCTAAATGTTTATGGCTATGTTTTGTTTAAATAGTAACCGTTAATTGGTATGATAGACAGGGATGACATAATTTGTATGCCCAAATTACATTTTAAACCCATTTCTTTTAAAGTGCAAAATAGTGATTTTATTATACTGTACCAGAACCATATACAGTATTTATGGGAATTATTGTAAGAAATTTAATTTGTAACAAAGTCACTGAAAACAAAGTTAGTAATTAATAGTCAATGCACACACATGAAACAACAGGAAAGTGATGATGTTTTGGTCCTTCTTTGACCTTTAGTAAGTCATGACTTGATAGAGTCCAAGATTGACCGAAATACCTGTATCATCATTTACCATTTTTTCTTGTGTAGGTTGAGTTGTAAGTCTTCAGTCATGATATTGTGCCTTATTCTCTACAGTGTTAGCCATATATGTTATAAATGTTTGACAGAGAACGGGCAAAACTGGCAAATAGTTGTGAGGAGTTGATGGTGGATGTGAGTTTAACGCAGCTTCATATTCGGCAGCAAATGAGACATCTCCAGGCCATTATGAAAAAGACATCACTACTCTCACAAGATAAGACAGATATGGAAAAGGTTTTTAGTGTACCTGTATTGCAGTATTGTAATAATATTTATTGCATTTATATTACTTCTGTATATGAAATGTGTAATCACCTAAGTAATTACCCAAGTGTAGTTACAGGATGAGAGCTATGCTCATGGTGTCCCGTCTTTCCAGCACTCGTATAACGCTTTGAAACTACTGTAGTAATAGTTTTGGCCTCCACAACTTTCTCACTTATTCAAACAGTCTACCATTCTGTTTGCAAAAGTGAACTTTCTAAATTTTTTTCAGCAGCTTTGTTTAGTTACCTTAAACCTATGACCTGTTGTTCTTGAAGTTCCAGGTCTCAAAAATTCTTTATTGATTTTGTTGATACATGTACCTGTAACTATTATATATGTAGTGATTATATCACCTCCTTTTCTTTTATCTTCAAGCTTTGGCATATTTAATGCTTCTAACCTCTCCTCATAGCTCTTGTCTTTCAGTTCCAGACGCCATTTAGTTGTATGTCTTTGTTCTTTTCTGGTTTGTTGATGTGCTTCTTAAGATAGGGGCACCATACAACCACTGTATATTCCAACTTTTGTGTTTAATTAGCTAAGTGTTGTTATAGGATAAGAGCTATGCTCGTGGTGTCCCGTCTTCCCAGCACACTTTCTTATGTGACTCTTTTGAAACTACTGTACTAATGGTTTTGGTCTCCATCACTTCACTTAATTTATTCCAAACATCTATCACGCTCCGAAGAAAATTTAAAAAAAAAATTTCGGCACCTTTGTTTCCTTAGCTTGAATTTATGACCTGTTGAGGCTGCCAGTTTCAGGAATTCCTCTTTGTCAATTTAGTCAATTCTTATTATTATTTTGTAAGTGCTGATCATTTTGCCTCTTTCTTCTATCTTCTACTTTTGGTATATTTAACACTTTTTAAGCCATGGTTCATAACTTTGTTTTTTCAGTTTTGGAAGCCATTTTGTAGTATACCTTTGCATCTTTTCCAGTTTATTGATGTGCTTTGTGAGATATGGGCACCATACAACTCCTGCATATTTTAATTTTGGTCTCACTGAAGTCATGAACAGTTTCTTCAGTATTTTACCATCCATGTAATTAAAAGTGTTTCTGAAGTTGGAAAGTGCAGCATTTGCTCCTCGCACAGTGTCCTTTGTAGGTTCCTCTGGTGACAGTCTACCATCTAGAACCACCCCAAGACCTCTTTCTTTGTTAGAGTTCTTCAAGTCCTTCCCATATAATTTGTAGGCTGTGTGTGTGTGTGTGTGTGGTCTATTTTCTCCTATTCCACATTCTATAACATGACATTTATTCACATTGAATTCCATTTGCCTCATGGTGTTCCAAGCACTTATTTTATCTAGGTCAATTTGAAGAGCATGACAATCGTCTAGGTTTCCTATCTTTCCTAGTAGCTTAGAATCATCAGCAAACATATTCATATAATTCTGTATTCCTTCTGGTAGATCATTTATTTAGGCAATGAACATTACTGGTGCAAGAACTGAACCCTGTGGTACTCTACTAGTAACATTCATCCAGTCTGATACATTGCCTGTAATTACTGCTCTCATCTTCGTCAATTAGAAGTTTGTCATTTATGTCAGCATACTCTTGTCACCCCAAAACACCCCAACCACCTGTTTCCTATAGAATCTCTGTGACTATTATAAAAACTAACGTGTGTTACTGAATATGGTTGCAAAACGTTACGTAAATTATTATAGCATGAATTTTCTCTCTACAGTATTTTTGGATCATTGTACAGTATTGATGAGATTTTTGCTGAAATTTCTGATAAAACTCTGTCATATTCATTACTGTAACATATATCTACAGGAAAATCTGATGATATATACAGGAGACATTTAACTACAGCAAAAGTTGTGATTTTTTTTCCATGTTTTCAGCTAGTATCGCACCAAATCAGCAGTGTGAAGAACCGCATTGATGAAGCAGACAATAACCTTAGGAGCCTGAGCAGTGAAATGCACAGACTATCGTTGCAGTTGCATGATGTCACAACCAGAATCCTTCAACTGAAAGACAAGTAGGAACATATTAGTACATATTGTGCTCTGTTTGCACACTTGTATGCCTGCATGATGAACTAGTTCTTAGGAACTTGGAACTTTGGAACAAAGAAATCTGTGCATGGGGTTCTCAACCACTGCAAATTACCTCAAGCCCATCATCACCCAGCAAAAATCTGCTATCAGAACTAAAACTCTGTCCTCAGATAACACATGGCCCCTCTGTTTAAACCCTAAACATGCTATACATTCACTCACTCCACACATTCTCTTGTGCTATTTACATGTACAAAACCTTGTTCCTAAATGCTAATCGTGATCTGAAACTCTTCACTGGTAGATGTAATCGAACCCATGAGGAGCACACCAGAAGTAAGTATATCTTTGATAATCCCTAGACTAAATCTGTGCAAACATCCCTGCAAATGAAAGGAACCCTGTCTGTGACACTCACCCTAATGAATTAAAAAATTGTCCAACCTATGCTTTATTTAAAAACAAAACAAAAAAGTACCGAACTACATCCTCATAGTTACCTATCTTGTGTTTCAAAGTCACACTGTATCAGGTGGTACCCGCTCGCCCATTTGTAATACTTAAGACATGTAACATCACCAGTATAATCAATACAATAAATTTTTATTGTAGTTATTATGTTGAAATCAAATTCTGTTACAATGTATCTTTTTTAATTACTCTTATCTGTTAGATTGAGGACCTGTCCAAAATGCTATGCGTGTTAGTGGCCTTGCAAGAATGTAAGAACACCAATGTTATGTACTCTCACAAACCCAATGTACCTTCTTGTATATAAATAAATAAATACCAGTAAATAAAAGTATTCACTGGTTTTGGAAACTAGGTATCCACTGGTTTTGGGAACTTAGTTCCTTAGAACTAAGGAACCTGTGCAATCCAGGTATCTACTGGTTTTTGGGAACTTAGTTCCCAAAACCAGTGGATACCTAGGTATGTGTAGCCATCTATATTTAAGAATTTCTGGAGGGACCATGGCAGCAAGCAACAGGGACCCCACCAAAGTCCCCTCAGAAGAAAAAAATGTCATTATATTTAACACTGGTTTTTTAAGTTTACTAAGTTTTCTACCTCTATAGTTGCCTTCAAGGTCTTGTCCTTTGTTCCTGAACCAAATCACACTGTGCAATCCGAATAAAGAAGTCGCTGTTTGTCACATTTGCATTGCATTTTGCAAGTTCAGTGCCTAACACAACAATAAGAATAAAGGCAACTGCAGAAAATCTATTGGTCCATGCAAGTCGGCTCATATTTATACCCATCCAAATTCATTCATGTGGTTGTATAACCTAATCACTGGTTCATATTTGCTGGTCTTACAGGCACATGAAAATCAAATGCAGCATTGATGTCTCAGAAGGTGATGAAGTATCTACAACACATGTTTTTCTTAAGGTGTGTGAGTACATTAAGGAATTATACATTTGTTTAGATATTTTAGCACGTTTAGTAACTTTTTCTAGCATATATGATTTTTTTTGTATTGAGCATTTTGTATACTCAATGGATTTAGGTTAAAAAAAAAAAACTGAATGAGGAGTCAAAAAGCACTTAAGTATCTAGGCCACATCCTCTGGAGGTAATGTCCTAACATGCCACATCTCCTACAAGATCGGATGAAGGGCTAACTAAGGAGTCTAAATCAGTAGTAACAACCACGCCAGACCATTCCAGAACACAACAAGGGAGGCCCCCATCAACTGCATTGGAGGGAAGAGCATCTAACCTCACATAAATGAAGGGAAAGCTGCTAGCTCCAGTTAAATCTCCAGCCCACAAACTCACCCTCCAAAAGATACATGATCAACTAGGCTGTGATTCATACATCAGGCTGCAAGCAGCCATGTTTAACAGCCTGGTTAACCAGACCACCAACCCGGAGGCCTGGTTGACAAGACCACCAACCCGGAGGCCTGGTCAAAGACCAGGTTGTGGGGATATTGATCCTCGGAATCACCACAAGACAGTAACATTTCAGCTCCAGGAAGGCACACAAATTTGGCATTGAGTTTAGATGAGACATTCCTTTCTGAGTAATACTTAAAATCTAGTATTGCTCTGCTACTCCTAACAACCAATAACTGGTTGTTATCCCGACTGTTGCCACTGCTATTTACAAGGTGGTAGCATCAGTAGTGTAATCATTCATCTAGCTAACTCTTCTGACTTTCACCCAACTCAGCCCCCCCCCCCCAAAAAAAAAGGCAAAGAACAGGCAGGACTAAAAAAAGGGCACAGGAGCAACTGAATGTCCAGGACTGATTTATGAAGCACTTGCATCTCAGCTTATGAAACTGTATACCTTTCCTCAACCATGGCGGCTTAGTAAGCATTTCTATTAAGTTTCTGAGTTTTGAAGTGCTATGAATGTCTACAATGATAATGACCTTCGGTCATAAATAACCTCGCTACTTTTCGAAACTCATTTAATAAATACAGACCAAGCCGTCATGATCAGAAAAAGATGTAAAGGACTCTTAAGTGGAAACATAAGTGCTTAATAAATCCTGACCTTGATCAGAAAGGACAATTTCATCTACACTCAATGTCTTATTTCTAAGTGGAGGCCACCTAGTCGCTCCCTTGGGCCTGTCACACAAACAGAAAGGAAATTAAAGCAGTGAAACATTTAGTGTAAAGACTTATTTTATGTAAAGCTAATTTATCATTATATATACTTTGGCTTGCTCTTTGATCATTAATACTTGCAGGTGGCCAATGAGCGCGCAGGATTGCAAGAAACGGGAGATTTGCTGGATCTAGAAGTAAGAAGGGCAGAGGAAGAGGTGGAAGCATTACAGCAAATGGTCGCTCTTATCAGCATTGAAGGCCAACAGTATCGGTCACAGCTGCACGATATTCTCTATCATAGTAAGTTTTAAATGAATTATTTGCAATTTGACCAGTATATTTATAACTTGTATTTTGTTTACAATATTTGTAGTGTAATTTAATGTATCCATGTAATATTTGTTTAAATAAATTATTATTGTTGTGCAAAATTAGTGGCTTCATATACAATGCAATTAATGTATCTACTAAGACACCACCATTATGTTATATTGTGTATATTGTACTGTATACTATTATCAATATTATAATAATAATAATACAGTATAGGCAGGTACTGTATACACCTATGAGTATTTCAGTGAATATGTTTCTAAATGCTAAAAAATAGTGTGTTAAGTTTGATGAAATGCCACACTTGGGTGGTACCTCAGTTGCTTCCCTCAGCTTGTCACTGCACTCTAAGGGTATTTTAGATATACAAGCTTCCTGTGACAATCTAGATCTACTGGGAACCAGCAATAATTGCTGGAACAAAAGTGGAGGATTTGATCAAACAATTAAATAAGTTCCTGCAGCATGTGCTGGACCAACCAGACTGTAATGGATATGTGGGGCCATGGGGCACTCAAAGCAACAGCCTTTTAGACAAAGTTATCACAGGGCTGGGCTTAGGGCTGAGGGATTGGGGAGTAGAACTCCCAGAATTCATTCCAGATATACTCCAGGTATGCCATATAAAATCATTGTGCCCCCTTCCACAGGGCAGGGGAATATATGGAGATCAAAGATCAGTCCACTACCAAGGTGAACTCCCCATTATAAATATGAAAAGTTGGGCCCCTCTTGAATTGTCACCTCCAGCTAGTTCGTGAGACTTGTTAATCATTGTGAGGATTGTTGGTGGAGAGTTGAAATTAAGTAACTGCATGCTATAATTAGCTAAGTATTGGTACAGCTATAGCTTCCCTATAGTTGTAAAATTATACAATTATAGCTTTCCTATAATAATTGCCATATTATGCTTTGAAATTCCTGATGATTTTAGCATCAACTGCCTTCTCATTGTTTGAATCGTCTACAACTCTGCAAAAAGAAAACGTTCAGATGTTTTTCAACAACTTTTGCTTAATTAGCCTAAGACTATGGCCTCGTGCTCTTAAAGTTGCAGTTTTAAAAATTCTTCCGTGTCAATTGTATTGATTCCTCTCACTATTTTGTATGTATATTTTATCACTAACTTTCATAGGCACCAAGGTGACTTGTTTATGCTAAGAATATAAAATGTATCCAAGAAAACATGAGAAAGTTTACAGAGAAGTTTAGTGGGGTTGTGCACTGAACAACGCTACTGGAAAACTGGCTCATCTGTTACGCATGTTTACACTTGAGTGCCGAGCAAATGTTCGACTATCGATCATTTTTATTCTTGAATAAAGTGTTCAAGTTCTGAATTGTTTGAGTTTGGAGCTGCTTGAGTACTGAGATTCCTCTGTACTACATATAAATTATGTACAGTATATTAATGAATTTAAATTAAATACAGGTACCTGCTGTACATTGTATAAAAGAAGGTAGGAATTGAATATTGATTGTAAAAATTTACTTGTTTTTTATAACAGGTGAGGAACAGAAAGAAAGGGTGGTTCTTGAAGAAAATCTTGGTGCACTGGAGGAAGAGATATTGGTCTGGCAAACCTTGTTAGAGCAAGCACAGAAAGATTTGCAGGTACTATACTCAAAGTATCAAATTGTGCTGCATGGAAATGTTGCTTAGCTAATTGAATTTTTGGAGGTTCAGTTACTGACATTATTTTGTGCCTCTTTAACCTTTTCATTTACCACCTGAAGGATGGGTATGGGGTGCACTACCATCTGAAGGATGGGTATGGGGTGCACTACCATCTGAAGGATGGGTATGGGGTCCACTACCATCTGAAGGATGGGTATGGGGTCCACTACCACCAGAAGGATGGGTATGGGGTGCACTACCACCTGAAGGATGGGTATGAGGTCCACTACCACCTGAAGGATGGGTATGAGGTCCACTACCACCTGAAGGATGGGTATGGGGTGCATAGTAAAAGAATTATATAAGAATGTTAATGTTTCATGGTTGATAGTTGTTTCTGTGGCAAGCCCCTTCCGCTCCCTGGAGCTATACCGGGCTGATGCGTATACTATATATATTAGACTGCGACAAAAGTCATTCGATGGAGTTCTAGCCTACCAGGGACCACGAGCCAGAACCTGGCACCCCCTCAGAGAGGAACAAAGAGCAATGGGCTATAGACACCCCCATGTAGTTGAAAGCAGTATGTGTCTGTCATCTACCAGATCAGGCACCCAGAAAGGTAGGAATCACAAAACTAACTACAGCTGGTTAAAAATTACAAACCGAAAGCTAAACGAGCAATCAAAAATCCCCAATCGGAAAACAAGAATGACATCACCACAGCCGCCATGCCACTGTCTGTGCAGCTCCCCCCTCCCCGGGAGGGCAAAGGGGGGCCCCTAGACCTCCTGTGCCAGCTAACTAACCCCAGTTCTGAGGCTGTTGTGTTGAGTGGCGGTCGATCGACTCTGGCTCCATCATTTGAGCAGTGCTGTGCCTTAGGGTGTTCTACTATGTGGTGGTGTGCAAGCCAGGAGTAATTCAAGAAGTACTGGAGCTGCATGCGCCTAGGGTCACTGTCCCTAGGTGCCCTGTAAGTACTGCCCTTGCAGTTTGGGCTACCTTCCACAAACTGTTCAGGGACTACCTCCGCAGGGTTCTTTTGCTGCTCAGTGATTGCCCGCCCTTGCGGTCAACTGGGTTTGTTCCCTATCACTGTTTGGCCTTGGGTAGGAGGTAGTATTGTAGCTGGCTGGGGTGCAAGGTACTGTGCAGCTGTCTTATAATGCGTATACCGGCCGGTTCTGTTCCTCCTGGAGACGTTGTGCTTTTGCTGGGTATTTTTTTTCTTTTGTTTAGTTTTACCTGGTGGGGGTCTGCCTGGTGTGGCTGTAAGACCACTTGTATTATTTTGGTGGCCCTCCGCTAGGTCCCCCCATGATTGCACAAGTTGCAAGGGTTCAGCTTTTGCTTGTTCTCTTGGTAATTCTGGGATAACCAGTTAGCATTACCTTGCTTGGGCTTCCCTTAGCAGTCAGCCTAAGGGCCCTGGAAAACCTCATTGGGGCTCATTGGTTCAATGGATGCATCCTCAGAGTCCCATCTCGCTTCGTGCGTGTTTGAAGGCTGCTCTGTACCCTTGCCTCAGGGTGACATTCACCGTCTTTGCCTCCGCCATGCTGCCTGTTGGGGTCAATGACGCCTTTGACCTGGAGTCCTGCAAGTGGTGTTCCTTGCTTGTACTCCAATTCACCCCAGTCCTCTGATACTCATATTCAGGTGCAGGCAGCTTCTGCATTGCATGTGAGGGTTTAGGTTGGTTGCCTTTCCAGATGCCCCACAGCTGCCCTGCTTGGGTTATAGGGACCCAGACTTGGGGGCGTTAGTTGCCTCGACTTTGGTTTCGTCTGCATCCCCTTGTTCTTTCCTTACTGTCATTCATCCTGCAACCCCCCTCCCTGCTCCCGGCTCCCGGCTCCTGAAGGTCTGAGGGTTTTGGAGTCAGGGCACGGCTTTTTTGGTGGCGAGAGACTAGCAGCTTCAGGGACTGCACCCTCCACATCGGCATCGGAAGCATTCAAGCCTGTTCCTCCTGCCGGGGCTTTCTTGCCACTCCCTGACAGGATCCTCCTGCAGGGGATCGCATGCAGTCTTGCTACTGCATGTGAATGGTGTTCTTGCTAGTTCTTTACATCAATATGCTCTCTCTTCATCAGGATGTTCTTGTGCATTCAAGCTTTCTCTACTGCATCATAGTCTTCAAATGGCACAGAAGCAGCACCCATCTTTTTCTGGGTCTCCTTTTCTGTGAGGTACTGACAGATATCTCGTCTCAAAACTGGCTGAATGATTTACTGGATTTACCTGAGAGCCAATAACCCTAGTGGCCTCAACGAGGACAGATAGCCGATGGCTTATCGAAGGTCCCTCCCTCCTTTTGCCCGAGGATCTTTTCCAGGTCGATTTTAAAACTTAACACAGTTTTGGCATTTACAGCTTTGGCGGGTATGCTGTTCCATGGGTTTATAACCCTGTGGGGTTATAACCCAAATCATATTCATCTGCCATCTTTCATGCCACCAACAATCAATTTCTTTACCATTACACCAGATTTAGGTTCCCAGTTTCATCAGGTGGTACTGCATGTTTTGTACCAGGTGGTACTGCATGTTTTGTATCAGGTGGTACTGCATGTTTTGTATCAGGTGGTACTGCATGTTTTGTATCAGGTGGTACTGCATGTTTTGTATCAGGTGGTACTACATAACTTTGGATATGAGGTAGGAAGCCCTTTCAACACAAATGATACATTACTGTACATGAATTATTAAAGATTACAGAAGTCTAAGGGAATTAGGCAAAATAATGAACTATATAATGCAACTTACTGTATCTAAAATACATCTTTAATTATAAAAATACAGTATTAAATGAATTTCATACAAGCATGAAAACAAAATTAATATGGCTCCACAAATCTGTTGAATAAAAGATACATTATTACAGGTACTTTCAAAACTAGAAACACTCGTCTGTTTTAGTCTTTCATATATTTAATTTCTGTTGTCGGGGACAGGAAGCATATACTTAGGCTTAGCAAGGCTTGGCCAACTACTGATCTTCCGCAGAATGTAACGCTAAACAATTAACTCCCAGGTACCTATTTTACTGCTAGGTGAAGAGATGTATCAGGTGAAAGGAAATGTACCCAGCCATTTCTGTCCCGCCCAGGGTCCTTCACTTGCAAGCCAAGGATGTAGATCACTATGCTACAGGATCCATTGGTCTTCAGTCATGCAAAATGTTAGCCATGTGAAATTTGCAAAAATTACCTAATATCTTTAAATACTTTTAAAGTGGCTCCAAAGAAGCTATCTCTTTGTTCACACATCTGACCATATACTGTACTAGCTATGTTGTAATTATAACATGCAAGTACCATCATAAAATTTTAATTTTGTAATTGTAATGTGCCGCTTCCTGGGAACCTTCCCCTCGGTGGCTACTTGTGCTAGTCACCTGGTTAGCTCAGGGAACTACCGAGTATAAACCCACCAGAAAGAAAGAGGCGTTTCATTACATTCAACACTGGATTTGTTAAAGATGCATTTATTTATTTGTTTCCATTAGGGTACTCAAGATAGGCTTAATGAAGTGGAATTACAAGTACATGCTGTGGAAGAACTTTTACGAGAAAAGAATATACACATGACTGCAGTTCAGCGTGAAATAGAGATTCAGCACACAAAGGTTCGGCATGCTACCCTTGCTGTCTCAACTCTTCAGTGGAGGACTAGAAGAAGATCTTTGCAACAGGTTTGTAATGTAAACTAAACCATTTTTAGAATTTGAGCTCATGTATTAATGCTGGTAAGTCTTAGCTAATTGCACCAGGCCTCAAAGACTCATCCATGCCTATCAGAAGCCTCATCCCAGATGGCAAACACTCATACTCAACCAGAAAATACTGGAAAAACAAGTGACCAGAACCATGGAGGGATGCCAATAGAGCACCTCAAAGAAACCAAGTGTTGAGGATCATTTCTTTCCTTCAACTAGTCACTTGTTTCACGTATCCTTTCTGGTGGGGCTTTTCTCAGTTTTGGGTAGATCTTATCCCCCTCCCCCCTCCTAGCTTCCCTTGTCTCGTATAGAATGTTGGATTCTGGTCCTGGCTACTCAACCATTTGGGCTGGATGGTAGAGTGACGGTCACGCTTTATGCAGGTCGGCATTCAATCCCCGACTGTCCAAGTGGTTGGGCACTATTTCTTTTTCCCCCATCCCATCCCATCCCAAATCCTTATCCTGATCCCTTGCAAGTGCTATATAGTTGTGATAGCTTGGCACTTTCTCCTGATAGTTCCCTTTCCAGTCTAGCAACGAGGAGGCCTGGTCGACAACCGGGCCGCTGGGATGCTAAGCCTCGAAATCGTCTCGAGGTAAGGTAATCTTCTCACTCCAATAGGGGTCTTTGTGGGCCTTTCCAATATGGTGCAGTTCTAAGACACTGGGGGTATACCAACATTACTCAGTAGCTCAGAGGTACTGCCGAGGGCCTGCCAGAAGAGGGCATGTCATTACAGTCAAAGCTTGATTTTAGTTTTAATTTCACCACAGAATGGCTCGGTGATTTGTGCACATAAGCATATTAAAATGTAAAATATTTCTTTATTCATCTTTGCAAGTTAAAGTTATTTATTTCAGTATGATATAGAGCTACGGTTAGCCCAAGAGCGTCTGCGTATGATAAATTCTCTGCTTGGAGATGCAGTGTCATTTCATCCAGAAGCAAGTGAAGCAGTTGTCATATACTGCCAGCAAGTCAATATTCCTCCCCCTGATGTGACAAAGCTAACCAAAAAGGAATCATTTGGATCCAGGTACTGTAGCTAGAGCAACATTATATATAGTATTAAATATTCAGTACAGGGTCAGACTTCATCAAGCATTTATGTATCCAGTTATGAAGCCTGTACCTATTTCCTAAATTATTGCAGCCTGGTTTCCATTTATTGAATAGTTTGAACTTTTGAAACTTCAATGCAAGGTTATTATTTTATAAAGGACCTTGTAGTGCTTCATAGTTCATAAACAGTTTAATAAATGTTAGCAAAGCTGCCATGATTGAGGAAAGACGTTCAGGTTTCATAAGTGGACACAAATGTTTGATGAATCATGGCCCAGTTCTTCACTCATGTTAACAAAATAACATTATATATGCAATACTGCATTGCTGTTAACCCTTAAATTATTAAGCTATTTAAAAGTCCTACATTCAAGTGGACATGGAAAAAATGTGCTGAAAATACACAAGGATCAATTATGTAGAGAAGACGATTTGAGCACAGGAGGAATTCAGAGATAGACTGAAGCAGTGTTAGGGTTTAGCAGAGAAATTGTACCTGCATGGGGGTTCTGGGAGTTCTTCTACTCCTCGAGCCTGGCCCGGGGCCAGGCTTGACTTGTGAGAGCTTGGTCCAACAGGTTGTTACTTGGAGCGGCCCACAGGCGCACACATCCACCACAGCCCGGTTGGTCTGGCACTTCTTGAAGAAAACTATCTAGTTTTCTCTTGAAGGTGTCCACATTTGTTTCGGCAATATTTCTTATACTCGCTGGGAGGATGTTGAACAACCATGGACCAAAATTTGTTTATACAGTGTTCTGATTGTGCCTATGGCACCTCTGCTCTTCACTGGTTCTACTCTGCATTTCCTTGCATATCGTTCACTCCAGTATGGTGTTATTTTACTGTGTAGATTTTGGGATCTGGCCCTCCAGTACAGTATTATTAATATTCATGATGGAAAGGAAAGACTAGAGAACTTGGAATTCAGTTCAGATTGACTCCAAAATCTCATTAAATTCATTTGAAAACCTGCTCCAATCAATTCTTGGCTGCAAAGTGACCATCAAATATGGCTATGCTATACTGTTAGTTTGCTATCTGATTGAAATCCCAACCTGCCGCCAGATACACTACCAACACTGTCAACAGAGGCACCTATTGACTGCTAATATTACCAGTGCTACAACCTGGTGATGGGTAGGAGCAACTGCTAGGTGGATAGTTAATTACTGGTTATTAGGAGTAGTAGTGATATTTTGCAATTTGTTTGATTTAAAGTATTTCTTGAAGGTCTTCGAGTGTAGACAAATACAACTGAAAAAAATCCTCGGGAATAATGTGAGGACCTTTGAAACGTTATGGAGAGCTAGACTGAGAATTCTGTCGAGGGGTTCAAGACAGCAATTGTACCACACTGCCTCCCTTTAGCTGCTTTGAACATTTCTGTGTGTAAGACAGTATCTCTCATTGTGTAAATGTTATCATATTATGAGTGATATCATGCTATCATTGTTAACATCAAAGAAGCAAACAGTTATAGGCAGATACCCATCATTTTACTACTATGCAGTGGTATCCTAAACTTGCATAATATGAAGAATGAGGTATAATAAGTTTTATGGATGGCTTGTTAATTCTTCAGTTATTGTAAATACCGTTCATTACTGTAAGAACCAATTTGTACCTGGTGTACAAAAATCTATGCCCTGTATGTATGACAAAAATAAGCATAAGCAATTATGGTAAAGTTAATGCTGTACAAAAAAAAAAATTCTAAGAGGGCTGCCTTTGGTGGCCCAGTTAACATGGCAGCTAACTCGGGGAGCCACCGAGGGAACCCACCAGAAAGAGGCCTTTCGTTACATTTAATGTTGTATTTTTTCTTTTTGTATTTTTTCTTTTTCTTTTTTTACAGATCAAGCATTGGGACTTTACAGTCATCTCAAAGTAGTAGTGCTAGTCAGCCAAGAAGTATATCCCCCGATGCAGCATCCTGGAAATCTCCCAGTCACCATCTATCCCTATCGTCACTCCAGTCTGAGGATTCGGGAAGAAGTGGATCACCTCACCGTGCCAGTGTAAAAACCAGGAGGAGTAGCAGTGAAGTAAGAGTTGCAGGCATGAAGCATACACCCAAGGCTAGAATAACAGTGTTAAATCCAAGTTAGTATTTTCAATTTTAATTCTGTAGTAGGTTTGATAAAGTTAATAGCACTTTTTTTTTTTTTTTTTTTTTTTTTAAGCCCAAGGCATGTATATATTCAAAGACTGGTGTCATGCATTGCAACGGTGCAAGTATATACAGTACAGTATACCTGGAGAGGGTTTCGAGGATTCTTCTACTCCCCGAGCCCAGCCTGGTGCCAGGCTTGAGACATATGTGGTAGAGTGGTAAACATACTAGGTAGTTACTAGATATACTTTATATCTATATAATATGTATAAACTGTACGTATCTTACTACAATATATCTTTAATCCATTGCCCTAGCAAAACAATACAAATGGCACCATCCCCACCATATACATTCTGTGAGAGATATCAAGCACTTCTCTGAAAACATTAAGAAGTGTCCTCTTCTGAAGTGGGGGTTCACGAGTGTCCTGTTCTGAAGTGTGGTCGGCAGGTGTCCAATTCGGAAGTGTGGTCGGCAGGTGTCCGATTCGGAAGTGTGGTCGGCAGGTGTCCGGTTCGGAAGTGTGGTCGGCAGGTGTCCGATTCGGAAGTGTGGTCGGCAGGTGTCCGATTCGGAAGTGTGGTCGGCAGGTGTCCGGTTCGGAAGTGTGGTCGGCAGGTGTCCGGTTCGGAAGTGTGGTCGGCAGGTGTCCGGTTCGGAAGTGTGGTCGGCAGGTGTCCGGTTCGGAAGTGTGGTCGGCAGGTGTCCGGTTCGGAAGTGTGGTCGGCAGGTGTCCGGTTCGGAAGTGTGGTCGGCAGGTGTCCGGTTCGGAAGTGTGGTCGGCAGGTGTCCGGTTCGGAAGTGTGGTCGGCAGGTGTCCGGTTCGGAAGTGTGGTCGGCAGGTGTCCGGTTCAGAAGTGTGGTCGGCAGGTGTCCGGTTCGGAAGTGTGGTCGGCAGGTGTCCGGTTCGGAAGTGTGGTCGGCAGGTGTCCGGTTCGGAAGTGTGGTTGGCAGGTGTCTGGTTTGAAAGTGGGGTCCACGAGTGTCCTTTTAATAACAAGTACCAGCTGAATCATCCAAATATAATAACAAATTATAACACAGGTTATTTAAAATTTATGTGATTTATACAATAGTTCCACTTATAGTTATCTGGTTTAACTGCTGAACAGACAGCATCGAGGTATGCATTTCTATAAATAACTAGCAGATCAAATGGTGAAAATCGTATATGGCAATTTACACACGGGAGGTAATTGCATACTGTACAGCAATTGGAGTATTCTAAGGATTGAAGAGAATACTTCATATATGATCATTACAAAAACTATTCATATTTGTGGTTTCAAAGTGAGTACTGAGTATAGGTATACATGCACAGTATTCATGAATTTAGTTATACATTATACACCTCAATTCATGTATACTGAATATGATTAGTATTAATGAACTTAAAATCAACTTTTTCAGGTTTTCCAGCGAGAGAGCTAAAACGACCTCAGTACCAGGGAAAGAAGCTTGTAAAGAGGCCTACTACCCATTTATAAGCTCTTATATTATAAATTGTGTGTGTATATCACGAAAATAAACACGTGATTAAGAATGTGACAATGTCAGACCACAGAGGAAAAATGAAACAGGAAATTTCCTTAAGTACTTTCGTATATCAAATACGGACCTTCTAAATATTTGGACCTTCTGAAGATGTATTTAATATACGAAAGTACTTGAGGAAATTTCCTGTTTCATTTTTCCTCCGTGGTCTGACATTGTCACATTATAAATTGTATTGATGAAAAGATTATACTTCAAAAAGTATTCATTGTTGCATGTCCAGCAAAGTATACCTTATTGCATAAATTGTATAAATATTCACATTTTAGAAAAATGATCACATTACAGTACTGTAGGTCTAAGTGATTTGCGTACAGTATATTTTTCTAGTTAAAGAAACTGCAATAAGGGAAACTACACTAATTATGCACTTGTATGGGTTTTTGTATACACCTACTTATATATTAATTTTTGTGACATAATTTGTTAAAATTTTAAATACAAGTAGGACAAAAAAATGAAGTATGTACTGTACAGTATGTTATTTATGCAACTATTTTCAAGTTTTCATTTTGTCACATGCTGGATATCAGCATGTGACAAAATGTCCTTGTTTGGTAACGTTACAAAAAGTCTAGTCGTGTAGTTAGGGAAGAGAGAGGGGGAGAATGTAATTCAAGCCATCACTAAGACAAACTCACTCTCATACAAAAGAATGCACACTGGTCAACATCCTTGGCTCAGAATCAAAGAACCCAGATTTAATCAATGGTTAAAACAAAGAAAACAAAGGTTCATGCTAAACGGGAATGAATCTGGAGAAATGTGAGTGGCGGTATTTTGGGACCAAGCCTTTTTGCCGTATGCTACATCAATGACGTAGATGAGAATATTACAACCACATCATCAAATTTGTAGATAACACAAAGATTTATGGTGTAGTGGGAAGTGAAAATGATAGTGAAGCCTTGGAAAGAGATCTACATTAACTCCACAAATGGTCAGAAGATTGGCAAATGCTTTTTAATATTGAAATATGCAAGACCTTGCACATGGTCTAGTCAATCAAGTAAAATAGAGTCCAAGTGCAGTTAAAAGCTCTGTACCTCAAGGTACAGTCCTTGCACCACTGCTATCCTTATTCTCATATCAGATATAGACAAAAATACAAATCACAGCTTCGTGTCATCCTTTGCAGATGACACAAAAATCAGCATGAAAATTACCTCTGCTGAAGACATTGAAAAACTACAAGCAGATATTAACAAAGTTTTCGATTGGGCAGCAGAAAATAACATGTTTAACAGTGATAAATTCCAGGTACTCGGGTAAGGCAAAAATGAGGATCTGAAACATAATACAGGGTACAAAACACAATTGAATCTGTCCATAGTAGGAAAACAGCATGTCAAGGATTTGGGAATAATAATGTTTGACGACCTAACGTTAAGGGAGCATAACCAAGCAAATTTTGCGTCGGCCAGAAAAATGATAGGATGTATTATGAAAACTTTCAAATCCAGGGATCCCATCACAATGGTTGTACTTTTCAAATCATTTGTGCTGTCCCGTCTTGAGAACTGCTCGGTACTCACTTTCCCCCTTCAGAACAGGAGAGATTGCTGAAATAGAGGGAATACGGAGAACATATACGGCATGCATAGACGCGATAAAGCACCTAAATTATTGGGATCGTCTCAAAGCTCTCCAAATGTACTCACTAGAAAGGAGACGGGAGAGATACCAAATAATATACACATGAAAAATACTGGAGGGGCCAGGTCCCAAATCTACACAGTAAAATAACAACGTACTGGAGTGAACAATATGGAAATAAATGCAGAATAGAACCAGTGAAGAGCAGAGGTGCCATAGGCACAATCAGAGAACACTGTATAAACATCAGAGGTCCGTGGTTGTTCAACGTCCTCCCAGCGAATATAAGAAATATTGCCGGAACAACAGTGGACATCTTCAAGAGAAAACTAGATTGTTTTCTATAAAAGTGCTGGACCAACTGGGCTGTGGTGGGTATGTGGGTCTGCGGGCCACTCCAAGCAACAGCCTGTTGGACCAAGCTCTCACAAGTCAAGCCTGGCCTTGGGCCGGGCTTGGGGAGTAGAAGAACTCCCAGAACCCCATCAAGCAGGTATCATGGAGCATAAACAACCCACGTCACAACGACCCTCAACATTAAGGGTCGTTAACAACATTACCTTCCAACAGATTTATGAAGAAAAGCACCTTGGAGTTAGAATCCATCATTCACTGAAAATTGCACAACAAGTGGCAGTAAGAATTAAAACAAAAAAAGCTAAACCCTAGGAATAATCAAGCATACTCTGATATAAAGGAAAAATAGGTACTGGTAGTTATTCAACTGTATAAATCTCTGGTGCATCCCCACTTAGCTTATTGTGCATAAGTATCCACTAGAAAAATGAAACAAGTTTAAATTGTTGTATCCAACATGTATGTATTGGAGGGTTGCAATTTTTCTACCTGGAGGTGTTTTGTTTTGGAGCGCGCACCTTTCTGGGGGTCTCAACCCCGGTCGATGGCAGACAGTACTTTCTTACATGAGTTTCATAGGCCTTTGCTCCCTACGCGAACCATGTTCTGGCTAGTGGTCCCCAGTAGGCATGACAACTCCATATGACTGAGCCCCGTACTAAGACTGTATTAGCTAATATCACTCCAATAGCTCCAGGAGCTGATGGGGCTTCCCCACAGAAAAAGCACATTCTTCACAAGTCCCATTTATCAGGTTTTAGCACCTAAGGAAATCTATACATATACAGTAATGTACTGTAATTAAATGTACACCAAGCAGGATTGTTTATATTACCTATTACAAATAATACTTGAGTACTTGAATTGGAATATGATGTATAACAATTCTGGACCAACAAAATCCAAACAATGTCCTTCCTGTATAGCACCTAAAACTACTGTTAGGACTCTACAACACCAACATCAACATGCAATACAGTAATGCACTGCCACAATCTAACACAGTCCTCAACCAACCACTACCAGTCACCCAACAACAAACTTTGCACATAAATGTGTCTATGAAGCCACCAGCTTGTCTTCGTTGAGTAAGTAATTATCAAAAGAAGGCACCAAGCTGGGATGGCTATGTAGCACTGTCCTCGTCAAGGCCACTAGGGTTAGTGGCCCTCGGGTAAATCAGGTGTCTACCTCTTAACTAAGTGCAAATCTCATCCAAACACTTGTTACAGATGTATCAAGTATATTATGTCAGTAATATATTTGCTCCATATTCTCATTAGCCTATGTGCAGATAATGAGATGGGTCTGTTAATTCTTAGTCCACTAATTACAATTAATACCTCTTCCCAAGTGTACAATTAATACTTTTTTTCCAAACCTGCTAGAGTATGGTCAGGTGAGGTGTGGACCAGTAATATAATGGACCACTGCAAACCACCTTAAGCCCATCATCACACAGCAAAAATCTGCTATCAGAATAATAACTAACTCTGCTTTCAGACAACACTCAGCTCCCTTGTTTAAATCTCTAAACTTGCTAAATATTAACTCCCTCCACACATTCTCTTGTGTCAACTACATTTACAAAACCCTGTTCTTAAATGCAAACCATGCTCTGAAACTCTCCCTGGACAGATGTAATAGGACCCATTATCACCACACCAGAAATAAATATCTCTTTGATATCCCCAGGGTCAAACTTAATCTGTGTAAACACTCTATGCAAATTAAGGGACCTAGTCTATGGAACTCACTCCCTAGTGAATTGAAAAACTGTAAAACTTTTGCCTTATTTAAAAGCAAAACCAAAAAGTACCTAACTTCATCTATTTAGTTTCCTACACTGAGCTTTAAATTTGCTCTGTACCTAGTGGTACCCAATCTCATAATTTTTATGTAATATCAAACAACCTTATCATTGTGTTCATTGCTGTCTTCTTTTATGTGCTAGCCATATGCTGTATTGTGACTACCAATTTTTGTCAACTACCATTCAAGCTGTCATTGCAATCAATCTTATATTGTTTTTGCTGTATTGTGCCTACCAATTTGTTGTCAACAACCATTTTAAGCTGTCATTGCAATCAATCATAGCTACCTATGTGCTTTAATATACTGTACCTATAATTTTCTCTCATCTTTTTTTTTTTCATTCCATGTAATCTGTTATCATTTTTTTGTCTATAAATTTTGCAAGTACAGTATTTACCTCCTTAAAATTTTCTTAGATTAAGGACCTGCCCGAAACGCTGCGCGTGCTAGTGGCTTTACAAGACTGTAATTACCATAATTGTATCCTCACATTCCTTATGTACATTCTTGTATATGCATAAATAAATAAATAAATAAATAAATAAGCAATAAAACGTTACATTGGTATTCTCAGCCCCCTTCTCTTCAACTGTTTAATGGAAAAAATAATGAGGTTGAAACTTCCACGGACGACTTTGTCATCATCATAAAAGGAAGGGATGCAGCGTGCCTTGCACCCAAAATGCTTAGACTGCATCAGTGAAGAGGCAAAGCAGATTGGTATCAAACTCAACCCCACAAAGACAAAAGCCATGCCCATAAAAATAGTGAAGCCCAACATACAACTCACAGTCCAGGGTCAACCAATTGAATGGGTGGACACATACCAGTATCTAGGAATATTCCTGGAGACACGTGAATTTTAATGCTGAGGTCACTTAAGAGACAGAACTGCGGCCCGGACGGCAATCCTCAGGTCGCTAACCTCCCTCTCTGGGGAGAGCCCTTTAAAGAGTCCCTGAATCTTGCAGTAACCACCTTGAAGCCATCGACACTGCCACTCTTCTGGAAAAAAAATGTGTCCAGCAGCTGGACACTCATAAATACTGTCAAGCAGTATCCTTCCCTGCGATAGCAGCCTGACGATTAAATGCGACCTCGGCACACTATATAGATTTATTGTACAAAACTTTTACCACTTACTATTCATGCCCGTGCCACCTCTTGGGTGGCTTAATCTTCATCAATCAATCCACATTGGCATTGAAAATGCAATGGAAAAGACATGATGAATGTAGTCTACAAAAGTTTGCAGGTGAAACTTTGCGAACAATGGTGTGCCGGTGAATAGAGTGCACGCTGAATAGCGATGGTGTTGAAGATGTCCGATATCTCTTGAGCATCTGTACTGAATCACTCTTGGAGTTAGACTTCCTGACTGTTTGATTATATGAAGATTAAGCCATCACAAGAGGTGGGACAGGTCGTAGGTGGTAGATTTTTTGGAGTCAATGTGATCTTTAGTCGTATAAGGATATACAGTACTGTGTACTGTATATCCTTTCAGTATCCTCCTCCACGATTGCAGCCACATAGTAAGGACTGGCAATTTAAATGTGAATTCAGCACACAGCTTATCATGGGTATGTCTGGGCGGGCCATAGGACAGGTGGAATGCAACTCACTTGCCGTGAACATAAAAGAAGAGGAAGAACTTAAGTGCTACATGGACACTTCGTTCTGAGTAGCTAAATCTGAAACAACAAACATTAAGTAGCCAACACCTATTCGGTACAAGACCTCATGGAGGCCATCTCACTAGACTCCGACAACAGCATGGCCATATCAACTCGCAGCAAGTCTCAGCCAGAGAAGAAACGGAAGACCTAGAGGTCTACACTAACCCACCAGCTCCATAACTGGTACAGCCAGCCCTACTAGGCTGAAATCTACCATGAAGACCCCATCCATCCACAGATCTCTAGTATCAGCTATTGGTACTGGTAATGGATCGAAAGAGCCTCCACTTACGGGCTAGTCATGCCTGTGCCATATTTAGGGTAGCTTACTGCCCGAAACGCTGCGCGTACTAGTGGCTGTACAAGATTGTAATTACTATACTATGTATCCTCACAATCCCAATGTA